TAACTGACTTTAAAAGTCCAGTTTCCACCCTTGCCGAATTTGGCTGGAATTCCTGGGCTCGATCGTAGCGCCACCAGTGGTTATTACGAGTTATGTCCCTTCTAAGCCTGCCCTATGGACCAATCAGATTCCATCACTTGCATTTGTTTCAAACAAAACGGTGGCGCCCAGTCAAGACGATCGGATCGATAATCAAGATCTATATTGTGATAAAATGGGCCTTACATCGTGAAGTTCATCAAATCACTTGAGCACCTTGATAAAAAACATGAAAAGGTTTGGAAAATATATGTTGACAACGACCTGGCGGTGCACATGCTTTGCAAATCCTGCAATCGACCGGAATCTGCGCGAGAGTTTACGAACCAGATTTCGATTTTGCTCTGCGATTTTGATTTTACTATGCATAAACTCGTTAGTCCAGTCAAAATGTAACTCCATAATACCAGCCTAGTTCGGCAAGGGTGGAAACTGGACTTTTATAGTCAGTTAATTCTCTTGCCTCGGGAAGATGGTCCAAAGATTCGACTAAATGGATCGAGTGGTCAGGTTCGCTGACTTGGTTGATTGCATGTCATTGTACCAAACCTCGTGGATCGTTGATCCCAATTCTTACAAGTCGGCGTCGTACAGCTGTAATATTGAGTACTGTAATCAAGACCAATGGTAGTATTTATGTCTATTGCTGTTCACTGTTGCAGCGTAAAACAACAAACAAACAAAAGAAACAAACATACTAAGCACACTCGTTCACTAAGATACCAAAACAGTGACTGTCATAGTCAGAAATATCTCACGTATTTCTGGAGTTGCATCTGGACCTCACAATACAGTGTGTATTACACAGCGGAAGTTAGTTGGTTGGTTGGTTTGTTGTTTAACGCCGCACTCAGTAATATCCCAGTTATATGACTGCGGTCTGAACAAAATGGAGTCTTGACCAGATAATTCAGTAATTGACATCATAAGCATCGATCCACGCGATTGGGATCGATGACATGCATCAACCAAGTCATCGAGCCTGACCACCCGATCCCATCAGTTGCCTCTTACAACAAGCATAGTCGCCTTTTACGGCAAGCATTGGTTTCTGAAGACCTATTCTACCCCGGAATCTTCACGGTTCCAGCGGAAGTGAGCTCCATTGTCATCTGGCTATGATGCCACAGAACCAGATATTACGCACTGTAACCAGCAGGTTCCAATTCTCCTGAACTAGACTAATGGAAATATTGTTGATAACACTACGAAATATGAACATACCTCTTTATATAGTTGGTTGTGCCATCTATATGTTGTTCAATGTCAGTCATGCAGAAACTTGTCCCAGCTGGACACGGGGCTGCATGAGGTATATATATTTCCGGCAGGGTGCAATATCTACCGTTGTCAACGCTACCGCACTGGTAGCAGGTACGATGTACTGCTTGAGGCGCCTTAGTGCTTGTAACTGTGGAAGCTGTGGTAGTTGTAATGTCTGACTTAGATGTATGTGTACTAGTTGTAGGACTTGATTTGCCATCCGTGGAAGCAATGCTGCTGGTATGTGTGGACGTACTTGTAGGGGTAGTAGTTGCAGGAGCAGCAATAGATGTATGTGTACTAGTTGTAGGTGCAGCAGTAGATGTAAGTGTAGTAGTTGTCGGCGTAGCAGTAGATGTAGGTGAGGCAGTAGATGCAGGTGCAGTTGTAGGTGCAGCAGTAGATGTAAGTTTAGTAGTTGTCGGCATAGCAGTAGATGTAGGTGCAGCAGTAGATGCAGGTGCAGTTGTAGATGTAGGTGCAGCAGTAGTTGTAGGTGCAGCAGTAGATGTAAGTGTAGTAGTTGTTGGCATGGCAGTCGTTGCAGGTTTGGTAGTAGCAGTGACAGACGCCTGGAGTGTCATCCCTGTGGTTCTAGTGCCTACAATGGAAAATAACTCGAATATCAAGTGACATATGGTGCCGGTGTAAGCTACCTACTCTTAGACCTGTTTATATGGATACATGTGCATACATGTGGTTTAAACACGCACACACACACACACACACACACACACACACACACACACACACACACACACACACACACCAGCACAGGAGTCCGGACCAGACAATCCGGTGATTGACATCATGAGCATCGATCCACGCTATTGGGATACGATGACATGCGAACCTGACAACCCGATCCCGTTCGTCGCCTCTAACGACAAGCAAGCATGGGTTGCTGAAGACCTATTCTACCCCGGATCTTCATGGGTCACACTTTAAGAACGTGTTATAGTGCTCTCCATGTACAACGCTTAAGTCTGCGCCAGGTTAGAGCCTATTCACAACTCTCTTATCGAAGATAGAGATAGAGAGAGACAGAATGCATCGATAAAGGTTCACATTTTGCAGTCTTTCTAATGCTTTGTGTAACACAATGGACGATGCCAGTTTCCTCCTTTGTTACATCACTTAGTGCAAAATCGGAATGTGTCATATTCAGGTTGCTGGGTCTCTGTGTTTATGGGATTTAAACGTGGAAAGAAGCAGACATATTCCAGTATTAAACACTTTCATTCTCTTCATACGGATACTTTATGTACAGTATATGATGTTAAAGTGTAACTGGAAAATCAAACGCAAGGGTGAAAATGACATGTGCAAGGTGTAAGACTGATTCGAAATATATTTAATGGTAATTAAGGTCGGATAAATCTTGAGGTCAGATACAAATACAATTTTGTCAGACCTGTTGTCTTGTAAAGCAAAACTAATGACTGCAATGCAGTTATACACAATAGTTGCATTTTTTGCAACATTTCTACAGAGATGGCTAAAGAAGGATAAGATCAATTACCGCAGGTTGTAACTAATGTCTCCTTTGAAGATAGCCTCTTTCTTTGCACCTTCAGGATATTGACGTGCATTGAAATGAACAGATTTCCTAATATTGATTAGTTAATATGTTCACTTTTCAATGTTTATTACTTCAGCAAATTATTCATGGATCATTGAAAATCTGTGATGACACCGCGTGTCTCCCAAAAAGGTTATGTCCTGCCCTGACGGTAGCACCACCCACACAATTTGTGTACAAAAAGTAAGTGTGTGTTTGTTGTCAAAGCCCGCCAGTATATATATTACCCGTTTTACGGACCAGTGTGCTCTACAGTAGCATCCTCAACTAGCCGGGATTAATAAATACTTGAACATAGTACCTGTCTGTGTTGCATAGGATGTACACACACCACAAGTCATCGGGCAAAGCGTATATATATCTGGATGATGGCATATCTCGGGTGCGCACAGATCAAAGTTGTCTTTACACGGAGATGCTGAAACAATAAAACACGAACAATGGATGTGTGATTAGGCAATCCGAACTGAGTTTCAACAGTCAAATAAAGTTGCGTGACGTTTGAACGACTTTATCAACTGAAACGACAGCTAAGCGCCCAGAGTCCGGTACGTCTTCAAATTTGAATGTTCTTAGAGACTCTTCGTCACTGCCTACAAAGACGCTACCCCAAGAAGATCCTGGTAAGAATTTGTCTTCAGAAACACATGATTGTCGTAAGAGGCAGGCGACTAACGATATCGTTTGGTCTGGCTCGTTGACAAATGTATTCGTATCCCAATTACATAGATCGATGCTCATGATGTCAATCACCAGATTGTCTGGTCCAGAGTGGATTATAAACAGACTGCAGTCATACAGTTGGAATATTGCTCAATATTCTTTTAAAATGCGAGGTCTACTTTGGAGGAACCATACGGTACTCATCATACTAAATGACTATCATTTCAATAGCATAGCAATAGTATTTCTCACTATTGCAATTGCTAATATGACCCCGATAGTCACCCCTACTGTTTGGCGGCGTCTAACACAATTCCAACAGTAACCCATTAACAGAAGACCGTTCAATATTGTGTATGAATATATATAACTCACCAGTTGATGGATATTGCGCTGTTGTTGGAGCCGTGTGGTGGGCGTTCTGTGTGTGGTCGGTGCCTAAATCAGTCAAACAGAGAAGTGTTTTTTATGTAGCTCACCTGGATCATTTCAACTTCGTTTTAAGGAATGACATATTTATGTAAAACCAGAAGCAACAGTAGTGGCCACAGGACACGCATCAACATGCTTCTGAACATCGCGGGCAAGTAGTCAAGGTTTATGTCCAAATATGAAGTCATGAACTGGATTGAATTTCGAAGTGACGCTGTAAGAACTTGTGACAGTAGTCTCCATGAAAAGAGCTCACGTCTGCGTCAGGTTCCAGAATATTCCTAACTCTCTCACAAGAGATATATAGAGAGACATATTTAGACTATTTCTTCAATTTTCAATCGTGCATGCATCGATAAAAGTTTACATTTCAAGTCTTCCTGAGTCCTTGTATAACACAATGGACGATGCCAACTACCTCCCTTGTTACATCACTTAATGCAAAATCGGAATTTGTCATATCAAGGTTACTGGGTTTCTTTGTTTATATGTAACTGTATACATTCTGCAACTTTGTCTCCAGCTGTCATGATGTACATTGACGTACATTTATTAGAAACGTCACTTGAGACCCGTGAAGATCCGGGGTAGAATAGGTCTTCAGCAACCCAAGCTTGCCGTAAAGGCGACTATGCTTGTCGTAAGAGGCAATTAACGGGATCGGGTGGTCAGGCTTGCTGACTTGGTTGATGCATGTCATCGTATCCCAATTACGTGGATCGATGCTCATGTCAATCCCTGGATTGTCTGGTACAAACTCGATTATTTACAGACCGTCATAGCTAGAAGATTGCGGCGTTAAACATCAAACGAACGACGGCGGCCTCTGTAAATTATCTAATCTGGACCAAACAATCCAGTGATTGACATGAGCATCAATCTACACAAATGGGATACGACGACATGCATCAACCAAGTCAGCGCGTCTGATAACCTGATCCCGTTAGTCGCCTCTTACGACAAGCGTTTGTCGTTGAAGACCTATTCTACCCAGGATCTTCACGGGTCCATAGACACTCACCAGTCACGTGGTGTCCGTCAGGCTTGTTGGTATGGTCATTCAGGTCTGCAGGTTTTGCATTGCAGAAATCAAAGCATTATTATATCACATCGTTCTACAAGAATCTTCATTCAAAATATAATTAAGTTTGTTTGTCACTGATTATTATTTAAACCAGCAGTAGAACACGAATACATCATGTTACCTATTCTCTCGCTGAATATTTAGGAACGTGGAATTTCTATTCCAAATCACTCGAAACAATAAATCAATGAATGAAAATGTAATAAAAAAAACCAATGACACCAGCAAGCAGAGGGTATGTTTATGTTCATCATGACAGGTTACACCAAAGAAAATGCAATTGAATTTATCTAACAAATGCGGAATCAGGACCTAATTTAGCATGTAAAAGGAATTTTCAATATATTGTTTTAAAATTCCGAAATAACTCGAAAATACATGTGTTGATGTATTACGCATTATTATCTAATTGTTTAAAACTTACAAAGAAATAATTGTTTATCCGACTGTTTTGTTTGTAACAATAATTCCATCCCCATTCATAAACTGCCCGGCAAAAGAGGGTATGGATCCATGTTCGATGATGACCAAAAATGAAGCAATGAAGCTTTTTATATGCTGATGTATTAATACTGGCTTCTTATAATAGTTATCAGAAAATCTCATCTTGCTGATATCGATATAGAACATATTCTATTTAAACATTCCCAATTTCCTTTCTTGACATTTCCAAAGGAACTCCAAGCTTTTGCAAATTGTAATATATCGAGGTAATACAATTGCTATAGCCAGTGGTTTTCTTTCTCTGTAAGTAAATGCATACTCACGTTTCTGTATGTGGGCGAAAGCACTAGTGATGCAGGCATTGTCCTTACAGCACTCTTTGCAGGAGTTGTAGTGCGTGAGATGGTCAGAATGGATACACGACTGATGATGGGTTTCATGACAATCCTGAAACAGTCACACGTCAGCACCTACTCAAGGACCGATCATTGATATTCTGGACATAGGGTTAGGCTGGGATTTTATCGATATAATAAATTCTAGGAAATCATAATTATGCTTCAGAGTGTTTTAAAAAAAGACAAGAAACTGAAATGCCGAAATAATTACACTGTTGCAAGGTGTTTTTTTTCTTCTGAAAAACAACTTAGCCCCATAGTCTTAAACAAAAAGGTTGTGTAGCTGTAGCTGAAAAGTATCTAATCTCGATACAAAATCCCAGCCGCTACCCCCGGAATAGGAATCGTGGTTCAAGTGTCAGGAAGTTTCAAATTAAGAAATGAAAGACATTTTTTGGAAATTCTTGAAAAGGAGGGGTGTGTGGGGGATGGGTATTTATCTGATTTTTTAAGCAAACATCCTCCTATATACTTGAAACAGAAAATCATTCCTGTAGCTGTGTGTGTGTAGACAAACCTTGAAATTGTGAGGTACGATGATACACTATCGACCAAGTGACTCAATCTGAGCACCCGATCCATGCATGTAGTCGCCTCTGACATGCATGGGTTGCTGGGTACCAGTAATACCCCAGAATCTCTACGGATTGTGTGTGTGTGTGTGTGTGTGTGTGTGTGTGTGTGTGTGTGTGTGTGTGTGTGTGTGTGTGTGTGTGTGTGTGTGTGTGTGTGTCTGTGTGTGTGTGTGTGTCTGTGTATGTCTCTGTGTGTGAGTGGCTGCTTGTACTCGACCGGATACCACGCCGCAGTTTTACCACCGCCGTCATATAGCTTGAATATTGTTCAGTGCGGCGTTATACGACAAACAATCAAAAGCCGGCCAGTCATTGCTTCATCACCCTAATGCCGAGCGCCAGGCATAGTCAAAACAAGTACCATATTTAAAATTTGGTATGACGCGGCCACGGGAACGAACCACTCTCACAGCAGACGCCTCACCCACTACACTACTACCACTATCTTACATATAAATAGAGAAGTATTCGATCATGAAAAAGGCATAATTTCTTTAAGTGGCATTTAGAAGTTGGTATGACGAACGAGGGATAAAGTTCTTTGAATATACAACTTCTTTATTACAATAAGTTCGACGTTTCACTAACACCGAAACGTCGCATTCGTTGTAATAAAGAAGTTAAATATTCATTGAACTATGTCCCTTGTTCATGAAATAGGCATACATTTTCTTTCTTTCAATGAGAACTTAAGATCCTTGTGGGAAAACTTACGGAATGAGCATGGATACAATCGCTGCTCAGTTTACCTCCTTCCACGGATATGTCACACACCTGAAATGAAACATATACATTTATGCTCCTTGGGAAATTACATAAATGACACCATAAAAAGGTCTTGCGTCATACATTCACTCGCTTAGTCAGTAATGTGCAAATATAATATCGCGAACACCTGGTATCATTACTATTCGATGGGTTGCTGAAGAACTATTCTACCCCGGAATCTTCACGGGTCGTATCAGTGAACAGGTGAGATGATTTCAAGGATATACTATCATGGAATCCATAGAAGGGGCGTCGTCGCCCTTACAAAACAACCAAAATGTGTCAAAATGAACCAAAACGCGACGCTTTGACCATTTTTTTAGGTCGCATTGTCGCCCCATCTAAAATATGTAAAAAAGGCATTGAAATGCTCGACAATGCGACATATTGATGCATGTCGTATCAGAATTAATCTACGCGGTCATTGTTCTTACCTCAGGTGTTAAACAATGCTTGGTGGTTGTACTTACCTGAGGTGATGAACAATGCTTGGTGGTTGTACTTACCTGAGGTAATGAACAGTGCTTGGTGGTTGTACTTAACACAGGTGATGAACAATGCTAGGTTGTTGTACTTACCTGAGGTGATGAACAATGCATTGTGGTTGTACTTACCTGAGGTGATGAACTGTGCTTGGTGGTTGTGGTTGTACTTACCTCAGGTGATGAACAATGCCCGGTGGTTGTACATAACAGAGGTGATGAACAATGCTTGGTGGTTGTACTTAACAGAGGTGATGAACATTGCTTGGTGGTTGTGGTTGTACTTACCTCAGGTGATGAACAATGCCCGGTGGTTGTACATAACAGAGGTGATGAACAATGCTTGGTGGTTGTACTTAACAGAGGTGATGAACATTGCTTGGTGGTTGTACTTACCTGAGCTGATGAACAATGCTTGGTGGTTATATTTACCCCAGGTGATGAACAATGCTTGGTGGTTGTACTTACCTGAGGTGATGAACAATGCCCGGTGGTTGTACTTAACAGAGGTGATGAACAATGTTTGGTGATTGTACTTAACAGAGGTGATGAACAATGCTTGGTGGTTGTACTGAACAGAGGTGATGAACAACGCTTGGTGGTTGTACTTACCTGAGGTGATGAACAATGTTTGGTGGTTGTACTCACCAGAGGTGATGAACAACGCTTGGTGGTTATATTTACCCGAGGTGATGAACAATGCTTGGTGGTTGTACTTACCTGAGGTGATGAACAATGCTTGGTGGTTATATTTACCCGAGGTGATGAACAATATTTGGTGGTTGTACTTACCTGAGGTGATGAACAATGCTTGGTGGTTGTACTTAACAGAGGTGATGAACAATGTTTGGTGATTGTACTTAACAGAGGTGATGAACAATGCTTGGTGGTTGTACTTAACAGAGGTGATGAACAACGCTTGGTGGTTGTACTTACCTGAGGTGATGAACAATGTTTGGTGGTTGTACTCACCAGAGGTGATGAACAACGCTTGGTGGTTATATTTACCCGAGGTGATGAACAATGCTTGGTGGTTGTACTTACCTGAGATGATGAACAATGCTTGGTGGTTATATTTACCCGAGGTGATGAACAATGCTTGGTGGTTGTACTTACCTGAGGTGATGAACAATGTTTGGTGGTTGTACTTAACAGAGGTGATGAACAATGCTTGGTGGTAATATTTACCCGAGGTGATGAACAGTACTTGGTGGTTGTACTTACCTGAGGTGATGAACAATGCTTGGTGGTTGTACTTACCTGAGGTGATGAACAATGTCTGGTGATTGAACTTAACAGAGGTGATGAACAATGCTTGGTGGTTATATTTACCCCAGGTGATGAACAATGCTTGGTGGTTGTACTTACCTGAGGTGATGAACAATGCTTGGTGGTTGTACTTAACAGAGGTGATGAACAATGTTTGGTGATTGTACTTAACAGAGGTGATGAACAATGCTTGGTGGTTGTACTTAACAGAGGTGATGAACAACGCTTGGTGGTTGTACTTACCTGAGATGATGAACAATGTTTGGTGGTTGTACTCACCAGAGGTGATGAACAACGCTTGGTGGTTATATTTACCCGAGGTGATGAACAATGCTTGGTGGTTGTACTTACCTGAGATGATGAACAATGCTTGGTGGTTATATTTACCCGAGGTGATGAACAATGCTTGGTGGTTGTACTTACCTGAGGTGATGAACAATGTTTGGTGGTTGTACTTAACAGAGGTGATGAACAGTGCTTGGTGGTTATATTTACCCGAGGTGATGAACAGTACTTGGTGGTTGTACTTACCTGAGGTGATGAACAATGCTTGGTGGTTGTACTTACCTCAGGTGATGAACAATATCTGGTGGTTGAACTTAACAGAGGTGATGAACAATGCTTGGTTGTCATATTTACCCGAGGTGTTGAACAATGCTTGGTGATTGTACTTACCTGGGGTGATGAACAATGTCTGGTGGTTGCACTTACCTGAGGTGATGAACAATGCTTGGTGGTTGAACTTAACAGAGGTGATGAACAATGCTTGGTTGTCATATTTACCCGAGGTGTTGAACAATGCTTGGTGGTTGTACTTACCTGGGGTTATGAACAATGCTTGGTGGTTGTACTTACCTGAGGTGATGAACAATGCTTGGTGGTTGAACTTACCTGGGGTGATGAACAATGCTTGGTGGTTGTACTTACCTGAGGTTATGAACAATGCTTGGTGGTTGTACTTACCTGGGGTGATGAACAATGTCTGGTGGTTGCACTTACCTGAGGTGATGAACAATGCTTGGTGGTTGAACTTAACAGAGGTGATGAACAATGCTTGGTTGTCATATTTACCCGAGGTGTTGAACAATGCTTGGTGGTTGTACCTACCTGGGGTTATGAACAATGCTTGGTGGTTGTACTTACCTGAGGTGATGAACAATGCTTGGTGGTTGAACTTACCTGGGGTGATGAACAATGCTTGGTGGTTGTACTTACCTGAGGTTATGAACAATGCTTGGTGGTTGAACTTACCTGGGGTGATGAACAATGTCTGGTGGTTGAGCATTTTTCCACACCATCTACACGACTGCACGTGTTACAATCAAACTGATGACCAGCTGCTCGTTCGACTAGGTTGGGAAAAAGAGGCAAAGATATTAAAACTGAATAAGTGGAGATATTAAATCATATGCACTTTACTGACATATATACTATTCTGGGAGTTATGTTTGCAACAGAAAAGTGAGACTGCTTCAAGACTGGACGAGAATGTACAGTTCATCAAATTCATTTTCATTTAAACAATATTTATTTCCAAAACAAGGAAAGTGATTGGTGTAAAAGTTAAACCTATTTAAACGCCACTCCCTTAAAGGACATTTAATAATTACTCATAATATGAATAAACTGTACATAAAATAATAAATTTCGATTAATTGTACCTACTGTTGCAAATATTATGATGCGAATATACAAGTCACACACAAATACAAATACACAAATACATAAACAAACTGGTGCGTATACCCACCTATGCTTGTACACCTATATCTCTACATACCAGCACACCAGCATATCACACATACAAACAACTACTTGATATATGACAAATTGCAAAAGACACAGTTACATTTTAAATCTTTTAGATTTTGCCATGAACATATACATTTTATCAGAGCATCCATCATCCCCCCACCCACCCCCCGAGCACACACACACACACACACACACACACACACACACACACACACACACACACACACACACACACACACACACACACACACATTCACACACACACACACACATTTTATTTAAGACAGAATATTGAGACTGCTTCAAGGCAGATAGAGAATACACAGAGAGCATCCAGGATTTTGATAAAACCTATAAAAAAGTATTTCCGGTAATTATGATTTTCAGCATAAGCTCCCCTCCCCCCAACACACACACAATAATCGAGTCTGGACCAGACAATCCAGTGATTGACAACATGGTAATCAATCCACGCAATTGGGATCGATGACATGCATCAAACAAGTCATTGAGCCTGACCACCCGATCCCGTTAGTCGCCTCTTACGACAAGCGTAGTCGTAGAGATTCTGGGGTATTACTGGTACCCAGCAACCCATGCATGTCAGAGGAGACTACATGCATGGATCGGGTGCTCAGATTGAGTCACTTGGTCGATAGTGTATCATCGTACCTCACAAGTTCAAATTATAAGGTCTAGGCTCGATTATTTACAGGCCATCTTGAAATAGCTGGACGATTGCAGAGTGTGGCGTTTAACAGACAAAGCAATTCTCAAACTCAACCATAACCACGAATACAGTGGAACTGTTTTATGTTTGTGTGACTACTCGAACCCCTCCCACTCAGCCCGACATCACCACTCATGTATTTGACCTTGAATCATGCTTATCAGAGTCACATCAAGTGTGGCATTAGAAATAGATACCCGTTGACCATCATGTTTACGTGACCTTTGTGTGGTGTAATATAATCTAATTTGTGAAAGCCAGTATGAAACAAATTTGTTTAAGTGGGAGGTTAGGCACCCTACCACAGTTCAGTGGATTTGCCTCCCTTACACCAGTGTGTTGGTAATCATAAACCGATCACGTGACGCACGTGACTGCATCAAGCCTCTTTCTGCGTACACCAGCAAGCAGCCAAACGCGAATTTCATAGGCAACATATTATTTATTGTCTTAGTGTAATTTCTTGTCCGTACGTTGGTGAGAAGAACGATGTCAGGTCGGAGATCGAGGAAGCGGAAGATCCAAGCACCCAGCGACCGGAGATCGTCGCGGAAATCGGCTCGAGTCAACAAACCAATGAATCGAAGTTCTCAGCCCGGCGATGCAGACAACATGGCGTCAACTACCGTCTCTCGGTCATCGCAGCCCGTCGACGCGAGGAATGGATCAGGTGATGTATTACCTCATGTTTTCAATAATGATGCACGATCTCATGTAGTGATAGGCTTAGATACTCCAACTATCCCACAAGTACAGTCGGTAAATCACAACACACACGATCTCGCATCTGTTGCCATTGACAACGATACGCTTAACATGCCTATAAATGCTAGGATAGTATGCAGTGGTGACAAAATGGTTGCTTTGTCAACTGACAATGTTGGTTCCTTTATCCCCCAACCAATTAGGGATAAAATACACAATGGGGAATATGTAGATCTGGCTACCCTCATTAAGGGATTGGATAAGGAGCAAAGTATGGATAGCACTATCAGAGTAAACTCAATGGGTCAATTGGAAATGTCACGCCAGTCGAAGGACATACAGTCAGTGGAAGAGTGGACAACAGCCTTTATCATATTTGTCAGCATATACCTGGAGAAATTCCCCGAAAGCCACCAGCAAATGCTTAAATATTTGCACACAATTAGATTGGCGGCCAGCAGGGGCCAGGGTTGGCAAAATTATGATAAACAGTTTAGGCTGCGCATAAGTAGATCCACAGACAAGGCATGGGGCACAATCAACGCGGAATTGTGGATGCTATACATGAATGTCACTCCTCAACCTGTGAACCGCAGTTTCACCACTTTCAAGCAGCCTTCACAATCTCCAACTGCAAACACCTTAAAAGTTGGTTTTTGCTGGGATTTCAATGACCCTGGAAAATTTTGTCGCAGACAACATTGCCGTTTTCCTCATGTTTGCTATCAGTGTGGTGGGAGCCACCCATTCCCAAAGTGCCGATTAAACCAATCAGTTACAGGAAATCAACCAACCCCAGAGGTTAATACATTTCAGTTTCGCAACGGAAACCTCCCAAAACGTGCAAGCATTGGGCCACACACCTATCAAAGTAGATAAGCTATTAGCATACCTGGAGTCCTACCCATTGTTAAGTGATGCCGGTGTTCTTCGTTGCGGTTTCACCGAAGGATTTCATTTACATTACACAGGACCCAGAGAGGCCAGTTTAGTTTGTAATAACCTAAAATCAGCTCAAGATCCCAATATGGCACAAATCATACTTGGGAAACTTTCCAATGAAGTACAATTAGGCCGAATGGCCGGTCCATATCAGAACCCACCTTTACCAAACCTGAGGATCTCTCCTATTGGAATTGTTCCAAAGAAAGAAGTAGACGGGTACCGCATCATCCACCACTTATCGTATCCAGATGGTTTGTCAGTAAATGATTTCATCAGCCCCAGCCTTTGTTCCGTAACCTACTCATCCATTGACGATGCAATTTTGATGATTCAGCAGCTTGGTCCGGGGGCATACTTAGCAAAGGCCGACATCAAAAGTGCTTTTAGGTTATGCATGGTGCATCCTCATGATTTTCACTTACTAGGAATAAAATTCTTACATAAATATTATGTTGACAAAGCATTACCATTTGGATGCAGTATAAGCTGCTCAATATTTGAAAAATTTTCCACTTTCATCCAGTGGATAGTTCAAACAAAGTTAAATTCTCAAGGTGAGTTGATGCATTACTTGGACGACTACCTATGCGGAGGATCTGGAAGAGATAAGTCTGAATGTCAGTTAGTCCTGTCAACATTATTAGCAACTTGCGACGAACTCGGAATACCTATAGCCAGTCACAAAACAGTAACACCAACAACATTAATCAGCTTCCTTGGATTTCAGCTAGACACAGTAAGAATGGAGTTAACCATACCAGCAGACAAAATACAGGATGCTAAGGATAAACTCAGGTTTGTCATGTCAAAATCCAAAGCAACCAAACAGCAAGTAGAGAGTCTCATTGGTTCACTAAATTACATAGGTAGGGCCATTCCCATCGGCAGGGCCTTCCTACGGAGATCCATTGATTCAATTTGTGGTATTAAGAAGCCCCATCATAAAGTTAGGGTAACAAGGAATATGAAAGATGATTTTCAGATTTGGCTTTCATTCTTGGACAATCATAATGGAACGTCATTATTCCTGGATCAATGCTGGATTACCAATGAAGCATTACACCTCTACACAGACAGTGCATCAGGAGAGTCATGTGGGTTTGGAGCGTACTTTCATGGACGCTGGACCAACGGTTCATGGCCAGGACATTGGAGGACTTTAGGCCTAACACGAAACATCACGCTGCTGGAATTTTTCCCAGTCTATGTTGCGGTTAACATTTGGGCTGATGCCCTCAGGGGCAAAAAGTTAATAATAAATAGTGATAACCAAGCAGTAGTGTCCATACTGAACAAGCAGTCAACTAAATGTAAGAATACTATGCAGTTTGTGAGGCAGTTTGTACTTCATTGTCTCAACATAAATATATTAGTCAAAGGTCAGTATATTCCTGGTTTTAAAAACAGCATTGCAGATTCCTTATCTCGTTTTGATCTTCAGAAGTTTCGTCAGCTGAAACCAGAAGCCAGAACCAAACCGACACCAGTACCCAAGAATCTGTGGCTTATCTAAAATCCGAGGCTTTTGCCTTAATTAAAGCATCAGTGTCGAGCAATACTCAACACACCTATGCAGCTGCATTAAGGTCATTTGACAAATTTCGTCACAATCATAAAATACCTATGATTTGGCCTGTGCAGGTAGATGATATTTTATGTTACATAGCCAGTATGTCTAGGAAGGCCTTTGCAAGCTCAACTATAGCTCAACATCTCTCAGCTCTTGGCAGACATCACAAAATTAATAGCTGGTCTGACCCTACTGAAAACTTTTTAGTTCGCAAATGCATGCAGGGATACAGAAATACAGCAGCTCTGGTGTCAACACCTGATGCGAGACACCCAATCACAATTGACATGTTGAAGAGGCTACCTAGTGCCCTCCAGGCTATTTGTACGTCAGGTTATGAAGCTTGTTTATTTGCTGCCATGTTTAACTTGGCCTTTTTTGCGTTCCTACGGATTGGTGAGATAGCGTTTGTGACCAAGATGAATCAGGACAGAACACTTAAATTGGCAGATGTCGGTATCATTGCACAGGCAGTGCACGTTAAGATTTGCTTTTCGAAGAATGATCAACAGGGCAAAGGCACAACTCTGATAATCCCTGCTAAGTCTGATCCTACAATTTGCCCAGTCAGGTCATTAAGTGCATATCTGTCTTTACGCTCAGCCCAGCCAGGCCAGTTCTTCATCCATTTGAATGGTAAAGCTGTCACCAGATATCAGTTCTCTGCAGTACTCCGGAAAGCCTTACAGTTCCTCAACTTTCACACACAAAACTACAACACACACTCATTCAGGATTGGAGCTGCTACATATGCAGCAACACAGGGAATACCACATGAGCTACTTTGCACATGGGGCAGGTGGAAATCTGCTGCATACACTAAGTACATTCGCATCAATATGTTGTAACAACTCATTTTTGACAGAAATATGGCTTGTCGGCTCCAGCCTTATCTACTGGGCTCACCGGAGAGCAGTTGCAAGGCCAGTGGGATTGGACCTGGGTCTGCAGAAGTATGGACTCAGCTTAACATGGTATGGGAGTAGGGGAATGAAGTGGAAATCATTGTTGCCATTTCTTCAGCAAAAACTAAGGCGCAGTCCACCACCAGCATGGCTTCTCCTTCATTTGGGAGGTAACGACCTTGGGGACGTGCCAACAACAGTACTGTTACAAACGGTGAGTCGGGATCTTACTAAAATTCATCACATGATGCCCTTCACACAAGTCATATGGTCAGACGTTCTGCAGAGGGTCACATGGCGGGGTATACCAGACGGCAGAGTTATGGAGCGCAAGAGGAAGAGATTTAATAGATTTGGTAGGAAAGGCGTACTAGACCTTGGAGGTAGCGTTCTCGGGCACAACGAAATTAACATAGCAGACAGGGGTTTGTTCAGACAGGATGGTGTCCACCTGTCAGACATTGGCAATGACATTTTCGTGAACTCATTGCAGGGGGGTCTTGAGTTATTTGCTGGTTTGTCCTCGTCCAGGTGTTCATTTCAAAACTAGTGTCGCTTGTATTCAGTTCTTATGCTTAATCCTCAGGGGAATGAGCTTGCTATAAACCAAGCTCAGTGGCGGAGGTCGTGGCAGGCAACTCAATTTTCTCATTAACTGTAAGTAAGTTCAGCCTCAACATGCTAACTGCACCTCATGTAGTGTACCCAAACCACAGAGGATGACAGTGTATGTAATGACACAGGATGGACTGCAGCTCATGCCTCACGTTGTGTTTAGCCACGGAGGATGAACTGAACTGTCATCTCTATTCCGGCCCATTTGGTCATGTGTATATTCCGGCCCATTTGGTCATGATGTGTATATTCCGGCCCATTTGGTCATGATGTGTATATTCCGGCCCATTTGGTCATGATTTGGTAGTTACTCCATTGCGTCACGATGTGTACCCATCTAAACCTCGGACGCAAGCAATGTAACTGCATTGCTGTGTACTGTGTAACACTGCTTGTCGCGACTTCCGCCTGTATTGTTATGTAATAAAGCTGCGCCCGCTTTTTGCCACTGAAGAAGCATCGTGTTATCTTTTTGTATTCTTTCATTCACACTTAATCTAATTTGTGAAAGCCAGTATGAAACAAATTTGTTTAAGTGGGAGGTTAGGCACCCTACCACAGTTCAGTGGATTTGCCTCCCTTACACCAGTGTGTTGGTAATCATAAACCGATCACGTGACGCACGTGACTGCATCAAGCCTCTTTCTGCGTACACCAGCAAGCAGCCAAACGCGAATTTCATAGGCAACATATTATTTATCCCTTCCCTCCCAGCCCAATTTTGCTTTCTTTGTACATGGGTTTATATGTTAATATTGTAATGTAAACATGTTTTTCATCAAGATCAAGTTTGGTAAATCAATACTTCTTGCATCATACTTCCCACATAATGAGTATCCATATCTGTTCATTAGCAATATAAGTCAATGATTCAATGAATGCATAAGGATGTGTTTTTTGCTCTAATTTTTCTTCATGTTTCAGTGCCTCTCACCAGTATACTATATAACTTGGTGCAGCAATAGTTGGCGGAGGTCGTGGCAGGCAACTCAATTTTCTCATTAACTGTAAGTAAGTTCAGCCTCAACATGCTAACTGCACCTCATGTAGTGTACCCAAACCACAGAGGATGACAGTGTATGTAATGACACAGGATGGACTGCAGCTCATGCCTCACGTTGTGTTTAGCCACGGAGGATGAACTGAACTGTCATCTCTATTCCGGCCCATTTGGTCATGTGTATATTCCGGCCCATTTGGTCATGATGTGTATATTCCGGCCCATTTGGTCATGATGTGTATATTCCGGCCCATTTGGTCATGATTTGGTAGTTACTCCATTGCGTCACGATGTGTACCCATCTAAACCTCGGACGCAAGCAATGTAACTGCATTGCTGTGTACTGTGTAACACTGCTTGTCGCGACTTCCGCCTGTATTGTTATGTAATAAAGCTGCGCCCGCTTTTTGCCACTGAAGAAGCATCGTGTTATCTTTTTGTATTCTTTCATTCACACTTAAGCTCATAGATTTACCACCTCCTCTATACGACCTTTCACGGAAGGTTTATAAAGATATTGTAAAAAGTGCCAACATTTGGAATTGTTTTGCTTCTTCTTTGAAAAAAGAAGACTGGATTACACAAGGCAGGTTAGCTACTATGTTTCACATCGTATTAGATTTGCGTAATAATCATAAGCAGTCTTACTTGTTTGCTTGTACGGCACAAAACACACTATTACCCACAGGGCAAGGCTGTCGGTGCAATTATAATCGTTAATTCTCATTGGATATCACGATGTTCGACTCGTGCATTGAATGTTTTAGAAGCGGCCTGTAGCACCATTTCGTCAACCCATTGCCGTAACACTTTACCATGACCTCTTCCGCGCGCGTGTGTGTGTGTGTGTGTGTGTGTGTGTGTGTGTGTGTGTGTGTGTGTGTGTGCCGACCAGTCCTTGTTTTATCGAATCCCCGACCTTCCGCTCTCATGACAAACGCTTTAACGCTAGACCACGAAGGTGTTTATGACGTCACAGAGCGTTTGAATCGACATCGTTCCCAATATAGATTGACTGAGCTGAAGTAATCTGGATACCATATTTATAAACATTTTCTCACCAATGACTCAGATTTATATATGGAACAACCTACTGGCGACTCATCTGAATCTGTAAACTTATACCATGTGTATGTAGAGTGCGTTTTTGTAAAAGAATTTTGGTTAGAAATTGAAGTGTACCTAAACTCGAAACTTGCATATGATGTTCATATTACCATTATGGATAACTTATTTTGCTAGAACAAAAGCAACTATCTTTTCAACCATATAAATCTTCTTTTCAAAAATTACATTCACCAGTCACTCAATTATGCTTTCCTTTCTTCATAAAAATATTGAAAGATGTATGTAAAATAGAAATATGTATCGCAGTGAAAATAGTAGTATTAATAGATTCGACAGAAAAATGGAAGGGATTATCAGCCAACTTGTTATAATTTCTCAGTCAATCCAGTACATGTATATTACCCATATCTGATCATGTTTTAAGATTCTATGAATTGCTACACATATATACCTCATGTACCAATGTTACATTTATGTCTACTGAATTGAAATATAAATATAAAAAACAACAAACACAAACCTACTGGCCACTCGTGAAATAATAAGATAATCCGATATAATCCTGGAAGCTCGGAGGATATTCTCTAAATATCAAGCTTACCTGTCACCGCAACAGTGAGCACAAAACATGTCAGAAGTTTGACTCCCATGTCTGACTTACAAGTGACTTACTGTAGAATAGATCTGGGTCACTGGCAAAAGATAAACCTTGGCCTGCGGTTTCGAATTCCAGCATTAGATTGATAACAGTTATAATTAGGCGCTGGCTATTAAGCACTAACACCATCGGGTCAGTGACCCTTACTACCACACAAGGTAGGGAGAGGGTGTGGTTGTTCAGTTATAGGTAAGTGTTGCAGAACGTGGACTTGGCAGCTCATGATGTAAATTCCACTACTTGTGGCTGCCAAGACTCATCATACTGCTACCAACCTGTTGGTCATATCATAACAGGTGCCTTCTCTATTGTTGACAATATCAACCTTGATCGGTTATTCAAATTTGGCTATCGTGCACAGCTTGCTTCCAATTAGTATCACAACAATTCATTATGGATAATGCCAGGGCTTATGCAAAACCGTTTGCCAAAAGAGAAGATGAACATGGTAGAATGGCTTTAAGAGTCGGTTTAGTCTGTGCTTGATGTCAGTGGTAGAATGCACAAACTGAAGAAACAGAAACCCTCTCGCAGCAAGCTGTCTTCGAATGTTTTAGTTCCTGATATGTAGCCCAACTTGCAAGGCCTCAAAGAACATAACGTAGAATTCAATATATTCATTGTTTGTCCAAAAGAACTTGGTATAAGTGGCATATCAATTAATACCATATGTAAGACCAGTGTGCTAACTGAGGAAGAAATCTGTCAAAGCGACGCATGGCCATCCATGTACTAGATTCAAAAGCTCCATCCAAATCCGTCCAAAGAGAAGGGTCCAGCAAATGTACAACTAAATTCATCCCTGAAATCTCTTTATACAATCAAGGAAGGATTTATTTATATTTCTCCAAAGTGTTTGAGACAAATTGAATTAACACCATGTGGATTCTCAAAAAGTCCAAGGATTTGCTTGAATCTTTGAATTCTGAGAAAAGAATCAATTGCAATTATGTCAAAACATTTGGTTCGTTAACTTTGTACTCCACTATCCCATACGAAAAGGGCAAACCTTCAGTCGATGATCCGTGGGCATTTGTCACTAACCATGGTGAACATAAGATATAATTACATCTCTGTCTTCAAATGTTGAGGATAATTTGTCAAGAATTCAAGCAAATGTCATCTGAATTGTACTGATGGACCTTCTCACAGACAGCAGCCATGTTAAATATGTCAGGAAGTAGGCATTCCCAAGAACAGCAATAATGCTTCTCTCCTTGCAGGTATGTCTCTTTATGCACACAAGTCCGATTGGTGAGAGTCTTCTCGGATTGGTGAAATCATACTACGGGAATTTAGCTGAGAAGTTTTAAATTAAGATTCAGAAATGTCGATGATCAGATATCGTTCAATAATGGTCAAATGGACAATTCCCTTCTACTATTTTACCCATCCGAGCTAGTAATATAAAGACCAGTGAAACCGCCCCATCTATGTCACCTTTATATCTGTGCATAACGATTCAGAATGTATGAAAAAAAAGGGATGACTTCAACTTTCCTACAGTCAACGTTCCCTTTTATGTCGAGCAATAACCAACAGCTCCAGCCTTTGGTGTCAACATTGAACAACGTTTGAAGTACAATTGAGCACACTCGTTCTACCAAAATTTCAAATAGTGTCATTCAACTCTTAAAAGTTATTTTATCAGGCTTATAACATTGAAGGCCTTAGTAAAACTTTAAAAATCTATCTATGCACATTTCCCTCCTTGTATCCTGGAAAAGTCCACCTTCGTAGTCAAGCAGAAGGAACTGCCCAGTAGGTGATTCGATTCCCGGCCGCATCTCACCAAAAGACGTAAAAAGAACGCCTGGAGCTCAGCATTCAGGGTCTCACACAAGGACCGGGCGGCTCAGAGTCAATATACTGTGTCTCAGTGGTGTATCCATGTCAAACTGCGGCACGTTATCTTAATTCGGATAGCTCTATAAAACTAAAATGAATCCGGACAAGCAGAGGCACACATACATACACACGTGTACTCGCGAACGCACGTGCATTGGGGTTGCAATGTAAGTTCTATAATCTTGGACGCGATGTTAAACCCCATTTCAACTCCCCCTGCCTCGCGATCTGTCCATGATCAATCCTTTGATTGATATTGTGAGCAACGACCCGCACCGTTGATGTACGAGGACACGCCACTAAAACCCGGGACCCCCGGAGGTACCTGTTCTTGAGAAGTATGACATATGTTAAAGGACCAGATTTGAATACAATCGTATTGTAAGTGACACAATTGTTTGAATGGAAGTCCTTATCATAGTAATAGGGAACCATAGTACGCAACGCAGACACTTGTGGTTGGCGAACACAGCTGTGTGCACAGATCTTGAACATAGGTGAGAATGATAACATAAACCACACCTATCCGACCTGGGATTTTGTATGTGGCTGACAATTTCTTTTTGCAACAGTCAGAAGCATTAATTTAAAAAAAATAAAGATTTTTCAGGGAATATTTATTTTTTCCGATCAAATTCAGGATCTCCCAGGATCTCAAACGGTCGGTCCAAAACTATGTTTCACTGCATTTAATATGTTATAGGGGCGGTACTTAAAGCGTTCCCTCACTCACCAATATGTTATATATTGTACTTCAGATCATATTTTATTCATTCTTTCGCATTGTTAATGTTTTTTAAAAACGTAGTACAGATATCCACACGGTAATCACTGGTACTGTTCGCGAACACCAGGTGTCATCCCTATTTGATAGTGGTTCATAAACACATGCGTTTCAGATACATGGAGTCGGAATCGTACAGTGAACTTATAATTATGGAAAGTCTGTTTTCTACAACACAGCCCAGCACCTTGCCAAACTACTTGCATCATTGCGGAAAGAAGGAAAATACTACATTATTTATTCCAGTACCTTCGTCAACAAACTCAAACAAGCCAAAGTCACAGATCGCATGGTCAGCTACGATTTATTAGACCTCTTCACCAACATACCTCTGCAAGAAGCACGGCAAATCCTACACAGCAAGCTACAGACCCGCATTGACCAGTTAGGCTCTCCCTGGGCAGCATCACACAATTAACCGCCTTCAGTTTCACCACCCCGCACTTCACACAGAATTGCAAGATCTATAAGCAGATTCATGTCCTCCCAATGGGTTCCCCCTTGTTCCCTCTTAGTACAGAAAACTTTATGAATAACAATTTTGAAGAAGCTGCCTTGACATCTTCCCCCATCAAGCCTTTATGCTGGTACAGAAAGTAGATGGCACGATCACCATCCTTTGTTGCTGAAAGCGGCGTAAAATCATACCCACTCACACATATGTTATATTTTGTACTTCAGATTATATTTTATTCATTCTTTCGCATTGTTAATATAATGTTTTTTAAAATCGTATTACAGGTATCCACACGGTAATCACTGGTACTGTTCGCGAACACCAGGTGTCCTCCCTATTTGATAGTGGTTCATAAACACATGCGTTTCAGATACATAGAGTCGGAATCGTACAGTAGACTTATAATTATGGAAAGGGTTTTGTCGCCTTTATCTATCTGTACATGTTTCATATCTTCATATTTCTTTTGATTCTCTTGACAGGTTGTGTAAACTGAAGTGTACATTTTGCTTCGGAGGTGTGGACTGATACGGCATGAAAAATCTAATAAATTTATTATCGTGCAAAGTCTTTGAAAGGCATTGAGAAGTTTGGAGATCATGAATACATAACACATTTTATGAATAGCACATTCTTTTATTCTTTGTCAGGACGTTTCAGAGCTGCATGAACTCGGTTGCATCACAGAGGCTGACAAGGGCAAAGAATCAAAGACATGACTTTCATTTCCAACAGGACACTACAAACATTTCACACGCCAGCGATAAAGGTCCCACCCAGTCCACCCCAAGGGATGTGTGTATGAGATTCCATGCAAAAGTGGACACAAATACATTCGAGTGACGTCACGCTCCATAACCACCAGAATAAAAGAATACAAGACCTTTGTTGAAACACCTGATATGAAATCTCCCCTTTCGGATCATTTCATAAAAAATGCTGACCGCCATATTTACTGGCCACAAACCAAGTTCTCCATACCAATACCAGTCACTGGAAAAAGAGGAAATCCAAAGAAAGAAGCCTACCCAGTACACCCGTGAAGATCCGGGGTAGAATAGGTCTTCAGCAACCCATGCTTGCCGCAAAAGATGACTATGCTTGTCGTAAAAGGCGACTAACGGGATCGGGTGGTCAGGCTCGCTGACTTGGTTGATGCATGTCATTGATCCCAATAGCGTGGATCGATGCTCATGATATTAATCACTGGATTGTCTGGTCCAGACTTGATTATTTACAGACCGCCGTCACATAGCTGGAATATTGCTGAGTGCGGCGTTAAACAACGCCAGAAACACATGCTTATGATACAGCAGAAATCGCACAGTAGATCTACTCTCTTATGATTAATGGAGGATTTATTATTAGTTAAGACATCGTACGTTGTTTGTCGTCCCGTGTTTGTAAAGATTTAAAAAATGTTCAACAGCTAAATAAAATCACTCTTTTCTGTGTTGTCAGCAACGTGATTAAAACTTGTGTTCATTCATTAGACCCGTGAAGATCCGGGGTAGAATAGGTCTTTAGCAACCCATGATTGCCGTAAAAGGCGACTATGCTTGTCGTAAAAGGCGACTAACGGGATCGGGTGGTCAGGCTCGCTGACTTGGTTGATGCATGTCATCGATCCCAATTGCGTGGATCGATGCTCATGATGTCAATCACTGGATTGTCTGGTTCAGATTCGATTATTTACAGACCGCTGTCATATAGCTTAACGAGTGCGGCGTTAAACAACAAACTAACCAACCAACCAACCAAATCCGGTAGGGCAGGGCATCCTTATCACGAACACCTGGTGCCATCACCTACTTTCAGTGGTTCATTCGTATAATTTCAACCTCAATTTTGCCGTTTTGCCAATGGAATCAGACTGTTCTCTGGCGTTGACAGTTGATGTTTTGGCCTTTGGGACAGCAAATTTCAAAATATATGACATCGACCTTTAAATAATCGATTCTGGACCAAACAACCAATGATTGATATTATGAGCAACGCCCTACTGCCTCGGGGTATGATGACAATAGACAAAGCTAGAAACTCAGTCCACCCGAATCTGTCCACCCAATCCATTTGGCACCTCCAACGACAAGCACAAGTTGCTGGGGACCAATTCTAAACGGAATCAACTCGTAAAGATCCGGGGTAGAATAGGTCTTCGATCAGCAACCCATGCTTGCCGTATAAGGCGACTATGCTTGTCGTAAGAGGCGAATAACGGTATCGGGTGGTCAGGCTCACTGACATGGTTGATGCAGGTCATCGATCCCAATTGCGTGGATCGATGCTCATGATATTAATCACTGGATTGTCTGGTTCAGACTCGATTATTTTCAGACCGCCGTCATATAGCTGGAATATTGCTGAGTGCGGCGTTAAACAACAAACCAACCAGCCAACCTAAACGGAATCCGTACCGCTAAAGGGGAGTCATAACAACCGCTCTTTATCCGCCAAATATTTACATTTATTTATTGTTATACCGATTGTGTTTGAGGTTTTTGACGGTGTCGGACTGTCATCATGGTTTGAACAATACATGTGTCTCAGGAATGATCTTGGTATTGCAGTTGTCACCAACACAGCAAAAGTGGCATGTCAGATCCAAGACATTGTTGGAACGTTTGAAGTCCGTACACACACTTATATCTGACGTCTCAGCGTACCATTTCCTCAGACACATCCGATGATTAACACAGCTGCAAAACAATGGTATATTTAAAACTACGAATGTACGTTAAAACAATGCATACATTTAACAGTTTGACGTTAATAATATATATGCTTTCACACGATCGTTTTTCGAAAACCGTTTTGAAACTTTTTAAGGTTGCAGATGTGATGTTATTATTTAGATTATGTGGTGTCTCCTTGAGTACGTGACTTTGTTCGACCCGTGAAGATCCAGGGTAGAATAGATCTTCAGCAACCAATGCTTGCCGTAAAAGGCGACTATGCTTGTCGTAAAAGGCGACAAACGGGATCGGGTGGTCATGCTCGCTGACTTGGTTGATGCATGTCATCGATCCCAATTGCCTGGATCGATGTTCATGACGTAAATCACTGGATTGTCTGGTCCAGACTCGATTATTTACAGACCGCCGTCATACAGCTGGAATATTGCTGAGTGCGGCGTAAAACAACAAACCAAACCAAAACCAAAAACGTGACTTTGTTCGAAATATGCATCCTTTCATCCAGCAGTGAACGGGTACCCGGTAGGATGATATGGTAATGTGACTGCTAACCTAGCGCCTTAAAGACAGCTTCGGTTGTATACTCCTCAGGGAGCTGAGAATGAAAAGTCTCATTGACCTGGATAATATGAATACAGAGCTTCGAGCATACAATGCGTATGGAGTTATGGAGTTATTTGACTCTAGTGAGCTATACACACCATCAATTCATAAGACCCGTGAAGATCCGGGTTAATAGGTCTTCAACAACCTATAGGCGACTATGCTTGCACTAAAAGGAGACTATAAGGGATCGCTGACTTGGTTGATGCATGTCATCGATCCCAATTGCGTGGATCGATGCCCATGACATCAATCACATCATTTGTATGGTCCAGACTTGATTATTAACAGACCACCGTCATATAGCTTGAATATTGCTGAGTGCGGTGTAAAACAACAAACCAAACCAATCAGTTCATAAGCTGACCAAAATTAGTCACGTGTCAATTACACCACAAAACATTCACGGTTGATGAAGGGGCGTTGAGTATACACAGAGCCGTGTGATGACGATTTGACGATGGTTGTTATACGATCATAACCTTTCATAGTAATTTAAATACTGCATATTAATTCATAAGCATAAAACCTGATGTCCGTTTGTATCAATCATCAAACCGATGCTTTTTAAAATTTTCTTACCGTTTGAAAACTTTTTCGCTGCCGTCTAACATGGTGAACAAGTCCGTCATGCAATACTGTCCAGAAGGACACGGTTGAGGTACACCAAGGGTCAGTTCTGCCAGCGTACAGGGGTCAAAGGTAGAGTAGTTCCCACACAGGTAGCATGATCGAGCTGGAAGAGAGCGGCAAGTATGAGTGAGTGAGTGAATTTGGTTATTACGCCGCTCTTTTAGTTATATCACCACGTGTCTGCTTGATTTGGGAGGAAGCCCGAAGGAATGCAGGTCTCAGACGATTGCCACTTTGGTGAAACCCACAAGCGCGGCTATGGTGCTGTGTCACGGGTCGTAAAACCACGACAGTCACTATCTAGTCCAGCTTCCGTCACCATTCGGCAAAGTTCGGCTGTTGTCGTTGCCCAGAGTCTTTAGTTTCATTGTTTGAGAATTAGTGACCAGCAAATTTTATTCTCTCGCTGTTAAGTGGCACATCCTGTCTTGATTTGATATATGTTATCTGATAAATGTTTGCTACCTTATTGATGTATTGAAAATGTTTTTTTTTGTGATTTGAGTTTCACGTATTAGTGGAATTATCTAGTACTTGTTGATATTTCTCATGTATTTGTACGTATGCAGTTTTTGCCATCTCAATAATTGTACATATTGGTTTGTAGCTTCCTCACCAGCCATATATATAAGGGGGCACGGGTGGCCCAGTCGTCTAAGGCGCCGCGATTCGCTGTGCAGAGTTGCGTCCCTTGGGCACGCCAGAAACCTATGATTGTGGGTTCGAATCCCGGTTCGCCCCGATTATGTTCCTAGGTTTGTCAGCACCATACCCGTGCTCGTGGGTTTCACCGAAGTGGTAAACGTCTGAGACCTGCATCACTTCGGGCTTTCCTCCCACATTAAGCTGACACGCCGTGATATTACTGGAATACTGTTAAAAGCGGCGTTAAACCCAACTCACTCACTCACTCACTCACCAGCCATATTCGCCAGACCTGGCACCAAGTGATTTCCACCTGTTTCCTAAACTGAAAGAACACCTTCGTGGAAAGCGCTATGACGACAACCATGACCTCAAAGCTGCTGTGAATCGGTATATCAGGGTGGCTTCAGAAACTGTCTTCCTGACTAGAAATGAAAAGCTTCTCAATCGATATGCGATGTGTATTGAAAAGCAGGAGATTATGTTGAAAAAAACCCCAGGACAACAGGACAGTTACCAGCTGTATTCTCAACTGAAGGCAATTTTTCTAATCTGTGTTTTATTTCCATCCTCCACTGGAGTCACGTCCTAAGAGTACCGTGGACATATGTTCCCAATGTTCAAACCACGACGCATAACTATACATGGGTGAGACATTAAGTACGCTTCATCAGTGCCAATAATAAAGAACATGATATCAAGGCGAAATTTACGTATGGGACTTCAACATAAAGAACAAAACGGCCCAACATGTACCTGGCGGAGTTGGAATTCCTGATGTAGAAGGGCTAACTGGTCCAGCAGGGTGAGTGGCTGATGGTGTCATTGAGGAATTGCTTGTCTGTACGGATGCAGATGCTGGTAACGTGCTGCTTAAACCTTGTAAATGATCAAAAGGATAGATCATAAGTCTAACTACAAAGTATATGGAACCACACTTGAGACCAAACGCTTGTGGACATTCATGGTCAATACATTGTCAATACGTTACGGGTAGGTTAACACAGGGTTTCTCCATCGCCCGTGAGTACATGTGAAGTGTGCAGTGAAGTGTGTTTATTTTAAGTCAGGTAATGAAATGTAGCTGTGTACGAATTCTACCGTTGCCTGACACTAAAGCAATGTTCAGAGTAGGGGCCACATGGTTATGGTACATATTGCACGACATATATTGCCAATAAAATCTGATCTCTCATTGGTCTGAGCATTCGCTTTTCCAAGACTTTGCCTTGATTCATTGACAACACGTTTAACCCCAACACCCTTGTAATCTAGAACCTACTGACAACACGTTTAACCCCAACATCCTTGTAATCTAGAACCTACTGACAACACGTTTAACCCCAACATCCTTGTAATCTAGAATCTATTGACAACACGTTTAACCCCAACACCCTTGTAATCTAGAACCTACTGACAACACGTTTAACCCCAACACCCTTGTAATCTAGAACATATTGACAACACGTTTAACCCCAACACCCTTGTAATCTAGAACCTACTGACAACACGTTTAACTCCAACACCCGTGTAATCTAGAACCTATTGACAACACGTTTAACCCCAACACCCGTGTAATCTAGAACATATTGACAACACGTTTAACCCCAACACCCGTGTAATCTAGAACATATTGACAACACGTTAAACCCCAACACCCGTGTAATCTAGAACCTACTGACAACACGTTTAACCCCAACACCCTTGTAATCTAGAACCTATAGACAACACGTTAAACCCCAACACCCGTGTAATCTAGAACCTACTGACAACACGTTAAACCCTAACACCCTTGTAATCTAGAACCTATAGACAATACGTTAAACCCCAACACCCGTGTAATCTAGAACCTACTGACAACACGTTAAACCCCAACACCCGTGTAATCTAGAACCTACTGACAACACGTTTAACTCCAACACCCTTGTAATCTAGAACCTACTGACAACACGTTAAACCCCAACACCCGTGTAATCTAGAACCTATTGACGACACGTTTAACCCCAACACCCGTGTAATCTAGAACCTACTGACAACACGTTTAACCCCAACAGCCGTGTAATCTAGAACCTACTGACAACACGTTTAACCCCAACACCCTTGTAACCCTGAACCTACTGACAACACGTTTAACCCCAACACCCTTGTTATCTAGAACCTATTGACAACACGTTTAACCCTAAAACCCTTGTTATCTAGAACCTATTGACAACACGTTTAACCCCAACACCCTTGTTATCTAGAACCTAATGACAAAACGTTTAACCCCGAAAGTCTTGTAATCTAGATTCGAATCTTTGAAAAGCATTTAGAAGTGATACACATAAGGAAGAGAATTTACTTCTATTTTATGAGTAACACAACGTTTCGTAGTTAATGCTTACTCCTTTATCCGGTGAAATGAAGTATTTCACCTGATAAAGGAGTAAGCATACACTCCGAAACGTTGTGTTCCTCATAATAAAGAAGTTAACATCCATAAATTCTCTTCCTTATACCAACATGTTTAACCCCTGCACCCTTGTAACATAGAACTGACTGACAACACGTTTAATCCTTAGATCCATGTTAGACCCGTGAAGATCCGGGGTAGAATACATGTAGGTCTTCAGCAACCCATGCCTGCCGTAAAAGGCGACTACGCTTGTCGTAAAATGCGACTAACGGGATCGGGTGGTCAGGCTCGCTGACTTGGTTGATGCATCTATCCCAATTTTGTGGACCGATGCTCATGATGTCAATCACTGGATTGTCTGGTCCAGACTCGATTAAATAATTTACCAACCGCCCTCATATAGCTGGAATATTGCTGAGTGCGGCGATAAACAAACAAACAAACAAACAAACAAACAAACCTAGATCCATGTAACACAGAACCTTTAACAAGACCAGTTCTAACCCGAATCCTCACGGGGTGTTTTCTAACAAAGCTAGACCCACCTGAGACACAAGAACGACATGTTTTCTCACACAGTTGCGGACCAAGTTTGTTGTGGCATATGTCCGCAATACTGCTACAAATTGGACTGTGATCAGAACAGGTACGTCCACCCAAGGTCACTGAAAACAAATGAATATGTACAAATGGCTAAGTGTGTTAACATTTCCATGTCATACACTGAGGTAGATATTGAATGAGATCTATTACGCAATATAAATGTAGGTCCTATATCAAACATGCAACATACTTGTTGGTTATAGAATATGTTTTTATGAAGGATCAAAGGGATAAGGATAGAGTTGTGGAAAATTTATCCTGACATAACCAAACTTAATTAATGTAGTAAATATGTATCATGCGTGCGTAATTTGTTTTTAGATACATCTAGTTTTTATGATACTATTTGGTGGCGAACAGATTCTATAATCGCACCGAGTGAGACTATATTGCACATAAAAATCCGTACAGACAAATTAAGTCATCTGATGTCATACAATATAAAATATCAATCTGAATATATATTTCCCAGTGACAGCTTGGAAGCATATTTTGTATCAGGTAATGCGATACGCATTGTTAACTGTGACATTGACTGTAAAACAGTTTATTGTATGATCATCATTTTCCAAATATAAATAAGATGTTTCTTTCATGGAGAATGACAAAACAAAGAATGTAATTTGGGACTGACTATTGTATTTATAAAATAGAAAGGTGTTGAAGAAGAAGGGGAACAAATTGTAAATAACTTAAATACTGTTTGTCTTCCCCTTTCAGAAAGTAAATAAGTGTAAATTCTCCCCCTTTTAGAAAGTGAATAAGTGTAAAAATAATAAATTCTCTATACAATACAAGCAACATTAACTTGTACCGGTAATCGTTGTTGAAGGAGTTGCAGGCAGGACGGTGGTTGCTGATGAGGACGTGATAGCGGCAGTCGATGTTCCGCCTGTCCGGGCAGTTCCTGTTTTTTTGTGCAAGCACAGTTTATATAATTACAGAGCTCAAACAACAACAACAACAACAACAACAACAATGATAATAAACATTGCAAATATGCAGACCTCGCTTTCGAAATGTCACGCTTGCATCCCATGTTCCAAGTTGTCCGACTCCCCATTGAACTCGGTGCCTTAGGTTTGGTACCTCCCAATCTGTTGACTGACACTTGGAGAGTACTTGGGGTTGCTGCCAGGGATACAGCCCTTCCGACAATCTGGGTAATGCAGAAAACTGCAGTGTTTGGGAGTCTTCTCAGTTGGTTTGACTAGGCAGCACTTCCTGGGAGAAGTCCCATTCGCAGTCTGGGCTGCGTGTAGAGGGGGCAAGGGCCCTGAGCTGATGATGAGCCTAACCAGCCTGACTGTTCCAGGATCACCCAAACCCTCTTTGATCTTTTTTCTATTTTATTTTATTTCTATCTGTAAATGATGATGGTGATGATGATGATGATGATGATAACAACTCGTACCGGTACTCGTCGACGGAGTTGTAGGCAGGACGGTATTGGCTTGTGAGGACGTGATTGTAGCAGTCGGTGTTCCGCCTGTCCGAACAGCATCATCAACAACAATAATAATAATAACAGAGAGGTCCATCCATGGTACGACCCAGAATATGTGGAGGTCGTGTTGGAAAATGACAAATAGGCCCGAAAACAGACTCAGACCTATCCAGGCCAACACGCCTGATCTTGTCCTTTTTGATAAATCCCATGAAATCATATATATCATTGCATTTTCTGTCCCTTAAGCACTAATGTGATGGTGAAGATTCAGGAAATAATATCAATTTGATTGTTAGATTGTTAAAAATATGCCGAAGTGGTATTTCAACAACTGCGTACAAAACCCAGGACCATTAAATTGCCAAAGTCTAGTCACCCTTTAACATCCAATTAAATTCATCCGCTCACAAGGGATGCTACGACAGGGTATAACGTACTTGGCCGTATCGTTATTTGTACTCCAATACCCGGTGTACTAAAGAAGGATGTGCCTGGTGATCTTGTTACTTAAGCAGATTACCTGTGACTTGTCTGGTACAGATACCGCAGAACTCAGGGCAAAAAAATGGCGCTGCAGGATCGCTGCAAATGTTTGGAACCTTGACGCAGTTATCCTCTCGTGTTGTACTCGTGCAAAGTGGCAGTGAAGGTGTTGGCTTAACTGTACAATATACAGTAGATTATATCATATCAGTTATGAATACAGCCAACGGTATCGAATCTTCGTCGGACCCTGATACCGCTGATCACTTCGAAAGAAACAATTTGTCGTTACCAAAGAGTCTGCGTTTATTAATATGTCTTCAGATTCCGGGCTAGAATAGGTCTTCAGCAATCCATGCTTGCCGTAAAAGGCGACTATGCTTGTGGTAAAAGGCGACTAACGGGATCGGGTGGTCAGGCTCACTGACTTGGTTGATGCATGTCATCGACCCCAATTGCGTGGATCGATGCTCATGATATCAATCACTGGATTGTCTGTTCCAGACTCGATTTTTGTACAGACCACCGTCATATGGCTGCAATAGTGCTGAGTGCGACGTTAAACAACAAACAAACAATGTCTTCATGTCAGATTGGGGATAAGTATATCCTACTGAGTTTTCAATTGAGCATTTTTGAACTGGATTTCGAAATCTGTCATTTTTTCAAATTCCAATCCTACGTTTACACGTTTAATTTCTGTAAGGCTTGTAATAACTGTAAGGCTTGTTTTTCGACTACCGTATTCGACATTAATAAACGAGACGAGAAATTTACTTGAACCTCCACCAACTTGGTATGCAAGACAAATATAGAATCTCCTATTTAAGAATTTATTTATCGATTGCATATTGCGAAACAAAAAAACCGATGGTGTTGCGGCGACGGCCATTAAGGACAAACATTATCTTACCCTTTTGACAGAGCCCACAAAACGCCGGACAAATGTCACCAGCGAGTTTGTCTGAACAGATATTGGGAAGAATATGACACTGGTCCTCTTTCATGTGATCCCTACATGGCGGTAGAGTTGATGTTGGTTTCGCAGTCGTGGTAGTAGGTTGGTTTGTGGTTGATGTAGTTGATGTAGACGATGTTGGTGATGGGACACCTGCGATGTATTATATTGCTTTACCAAATGCTTCGGACAATAAAACTGTCAATGCTGTCACGTTTGGCCATCGTGCCGAAATAAATGATAATATTTAGATCAATACGTTGTCAGAAATAAGAAAGGCAGATCACATTAGCAATGTAACATAGGACAACATTCATTTTGGAGATTGGGCATTGGTAACACACATCCATCATTTGGGACCCCCAAAAGCAAAGTAGACACAATTTATTGATATCGATTTCTTTAATTTCTGTAAAGGCGACGTTTCGGTATAGATCGTAAAACCGTTGTCAAGCAAAGTTGAGTTATGAACATGGTACAGAATATATATAGTAGGTGGAGGATTAACAGTAACAACAATTGCATACATGGGAGAGATTAACATAATTAAATTAATAGTGAATGAATAATGACAACACAAGGATAATACTGTAACAACATGATGGATAGAGAACACAAGATGAGGAAGTCAAAAAGAGAGGAAGTCAATTAAACAGGATCTGTACCGAAAGGTCGCCTTTACAGTAAATAAAGCAGTTATCAATACATTGTTTCTACTTTGTCATCCGCCAACGTTAAAGTTATACCAATCAAACAATTTACCCATAAAAAAGACATATATTGTATTCAGTGATATTTCAAAACAAAGAGGGAATACAAAACTACAAAACATTTGCGATCCAGACTTGGTTGGCTGCATGTCATCGTATCACAGTTGCATGAAAAAGACATATATTGTATTCAGTGATATTTCAAAACAAAGAGGGAATACAAAACTACAAAACAATTACGATCCAGACTTGGTTGAATGCAGGTCATCCTATCACAGTTACATGGCCCAATTCTCAAAATGTCAATCCGATCATGTCCAGTCCAACTGGATTATATACAAACCGCTTTTATGTAGTGGAATATTACTGAGTGCGACAAGCGAACATCAAACAGTAGGTTGAGTGTAAACGATTACCACAGAAACTACAGAACTTCTTGCAGACAACTGGGGCAAGTGTGTTTGAACAAACATTGTCAGTAGTTGCACACCCCGGCATTAGATCTACACAGTCGGGGCTGCTTGGTGTCGTGGGTGGTGGCTGTGTCGATCCGAAAGGGTCAACTGAAAAAATATATATGAAAACATGTAACGTTTCAGATTGATCAGGCTTCTTTCTGCATTCCCCAAAATATCGGGGCAACTGAATGTAGTGTTAATGCGCAGTGGGAAGGTCACACCTGCAGTCTTTCCTATTCGAAATTTTGTACTTCAGTTCAAAACGTCATCGAGTGAACAAAATCATTCTCGAATATCTGCCGTGAGCGTGAAAAGAAAACTAGTGTTGAATAGGATTTGACCAAAATTACAAAAGTTATCAAAAAGGAAGAAGGCTGTAAACAGTCGCCGAAACATTGGAAACAGTCGAAAACACAATTATAATACTTGTATCAAAATCAGCCATCAATTTACCATTTCTTGTTTGTTTCATTTTTAGTCAACTTTAAATGTGGGTGTTTACTTTTTTTTGCCCCGGGTAACAAAAGGTCTCGAACAACAGGCTTGTCGAAATATGCTACCTGATGTTACGGGTGGCTCGACGACTTGGTTGGTTGCGTGTCACCGTAACCAGACATATAAGACAAGGTAAATAAGATGCAGGTTCATGTTACACTGAGGTCCACTATGGTAGTGGGCTACCACTATTGAAACCAGCATGAGTCCGGACTATCCGGACGTAAACGTCGTTAAATGTGTGAAGCAATCTTCAACGCCACCTTCCTATTCCACATTCTACGGAAGCGTTACGGTAGTAGGGCCACGGTGAATTTTCTTTGTCTAAGTATCTCCTACGTAGGACTTAGTATCTCTTACTTAGGACTTAGTATCACCTACGTAGGACTTAGTATGGATTAGCATAACTATCTCCTACGTAGGACTTACTATCTCCTACGTAGGACTTAATATCTCCTACGTAGGACTTACTATCTCCTACGTAGGACTTACTGTCTCCTACGTAGGGCTTAATATCTCCTACGTAGGACTAAGTATCTCCTACGTAGGACTTAGTATGGACTGAATAACTACATGTATCTCCTACGTAGGACTTATTATCTCCTACGTAGGACTTATTCTCTTCTACGTAGGACTTACTATCTATTACGTAGGACTTAGTATGGCCTAGTATCACTATCTCCTACGTAATGACTTAGTATCTCCTACGTAGGACTTACTATCTTCTCCATTGGAGATACAAACATGTAGCGCAATGGTGTTTACCTGAGATATGTAGTGCTTGATTTACACACTCCGCATCGTCACAACAAAACTTGCATCTTCCGTAGTAAAACAAAGTCCTGAAGTCTGGACACCAGGTTTTCATGTCGTGCAAGCAGTGCTGGAAACAATATACATCGGTTGGTTGGTTGGTTTGTTGTTTTACGCCGCACTCAGCAATATTCAAGCTATATGACGGCGGTCTGTAAATAATCCAGTCTGGACCCGAACATCCAGTGATTCATATCATGAGCATCGATCCAAGCAATTTGGATCGATGACATGCTTCAACAAAGTCAGTGAGCCTGACCACCCGATCCCGATTATCGCCTCTTACGACAAACATAGTCGCCTTTTACAGCAAGCATGGTCATAATAACAGGACGGGTAGCGTAGGTGGGCGAAGACAATTCAAAATATGGTGACGGATAAAAAATATTTCAAAATGTGGTGACGGATAACAAATAATTCAAAATGTGGTGACGGATAACAAATATTTAAAAAAGTGGTGACGGCTAACAAATAATTCAAAATGTGGTGACGGCTAACAAATAATTCAAAATGTGGTGACGGATAACAAATAATTCAAAATGTGGTGACGATAACAAATAATTCAAAATGTGGTGACGGATAACAAATAATTCAAAATGTGGTGACGGATAACAAATAATTCAAAATGTGGTGACGGATAACAAATAATTCAAAATGTGGTGACGGATAACAAATAATTCAAAATATGGTGACGGATAAAAAATAATTCAAAATGTGGTGACGGATAACAAATAATTCAAAATGTGGTTACCGATAAAATGTTCATAATATGGCAATGGATTTGTCCAAACGTAATGTTTTGCTTTCAGTGTTAGATATAATTTTGGTCGAGGGCTGTTGGTGTACTCTGTAACAATTTAAGACCCATGAGGTATATGTTTTGGATGTATCAGGTCTTTGGTCTTTGGATAAATGAAAATATATTTTCAAGACAAATGCTTCCTTAGATTCAGGGAATATTTGAATCAGTACTAGAAACGTATTACTTTACAATAACTTAGCCTTAGTAAAGATGCAGGGTGTCCGTTAGTCATGAGTAGATACCATAGCAATCCGAAGTTCTGATAACAAATATTGAATTATCAAATACATATCTCCACATAAAAAAACAACAGAAGCCATAAATGAAAATGAAAGCACAAATGTCAAGCGTCCCACTCGCATCTCTCGCGCAGTATTTCAATAATAACGCATTACCATTATTCGATGAGTGAGTGAATATGTATGGTTTTACGCTGCGCTTAGCAATACTCCAGCAATATCATAGACATATGATACTTATATATCTATATTTACAGACGGATCCAAGGAGGGTGGCGCAGTTGCTCGTTACTGTTATTGGATCCAGAACATTATCTCCACGAGTACCAGATAACGGTTCCATATTCACAGCAGAAGCAAACGCCATTGTACCAGCACTATACTAAATTTATATCAAAAGAATCTTAACAGAAACCATTCAATATTTTTTACAGATTCTCTTTCGTGCCTTTAGTATTGTCGTCCTCAGAGGGTATATAAGTTCCACATCATTCGAAGTATATTTATGCATGCCAGACTGTAAAACGTAGTATACTCGTCATTTTAATCTTTGGCTTAACTGGTAAACTATCGCCAGTGACTAAAGGTATATATGATATCAATCCTTCCAGGGTCCATGCAGGTAGTAAAGGTACTGCACATGTAAGCCCCCATGGTCTCTAGTATGATGATCTCCTTTGAGTACTTAACCCATTTTTATATCGTGTTGTTGAATAATACTTTATTCTTTTAAATGTATTCAACTAGTTTTAAATTGAATCTGTGATATTCTAGTTATTTTACTGCACATCGATGACAGGTTTTATTTTAGTCTTAAGATGTATATAATTAGGAGATAAACATAGTGTGTTTTCAATGTAGAGCTAGGTTACCTAAAGATTTAACCGCGCTAAATTGAATTTGGAACCGGACGCGCAGCGTGAGGTTTCAAATGTTAAATTTAGCGCGGTTAAATCTACAGGTAACCTAGCTCTACATTGAAAACACACTATGTTTATCTCCATTCTACCATGACTAAATAAAACGCGAACTCTTTGGTGTTAGCAATTATACTGAGTGAAGCGGCATGGGTTGAGTCCAGTGTTTTGAGTTGGTTATCGATCTGAATTACGGAATCACCGAACAAAATATGGCGCTGTATATACTCAAGCAGTTTGTTTACACCCTAATACTTCACTCGAACATATGACAGGCATTGAAAGCATATAAGCACGGCAACTTGGTGAGCTAACATGAGGTGGGCATCCCTAAAGAAAACAAAGCGAGCTTTGCAAGGCTTTCGCTCTACATCGCGCGTCACCATTATGACGTCATGTCGCGCGCTCATTGTAATGCAAAAGATATGACGTCACAGTCGCATATAGAAAAGCGCCAAAATTCCAAGCTCTCTGTTGTCTCCAAAACGTAAATACATTCCCTTTGTAGATTTCTATCGTTCTTTCTGCACGAAATGTATTGCCACACATCCTATTCTGTAGTAACCGCATCTGTGCATTTTGTAACCTGTAATTGTAGATATAATTATTTAAATATGACTAGCGACAATAACTGAAAAAAGTACTATTCTGTGAATATTAGCTTCCGCGGTGATGCGGCCGTCAAACCAGCTGTTTCAATCAGAGGGGGTTTATTGTGATTTAATAGCCTCTGATTGACCAATCAGAATCGAGTAAATTCCAAATTCCCAAACGATTCAAGTTACAACGTTAAATATGCTTGTGTTGCCGACCAATACATATTATTCATTCGCTGTGTAGCATTTAATTTAGCTTTATTTTTTGATGTGGTCGTTTCCTGGATAACAATAATTTGATTTCTGACATGGGTACAAAATAAGGACCACATATGCAATCTAGCATAACGTAGACCAATAATCTAGTTCAAGGTCATTAGCGACAAGAGAGCATCGTATATATTGACAGACATGAGACTTATCTTCCAAGATGACTGCACATTAACCAAAACAAAGAAAATCATATTTAAACCACATGTTATAACACAGACGGCATACGGGCGTTATGCGGACGACGTGGTACATTATATTTATAATTGAGTGAGTGAGTTTGGTTTAACGCCGCTTTTAACATTATTCCAGTTATATCACGGCGTGTCAGCTTAATGTGGGAGGAAAGCCCGAAGTGATGCAGGTCTAAGACGTTTACCACTTCGGTGAAACCCACGAGCACGGGTATGGTGCTGACAAACCTAGAAACATAATTAGGGCGAATCGGGATTCGAACCCACAATCATAGGTTTCTGGCGTGCCCAAGGGACGCAACTCTGCACAGCGAATCGCGGCGCCTAAGACGACTGGGCCACCCGTGCCCCCTTATATTTATAAAGCCGTTATGGTTTTGGACCACTTCAGCTGACACACATAAGTTGGTAAATTGGAAATGATAATCTTACATTGAAGTCTTTGAGAGGTTTGCATTTTCCATCCACGATATCATCGAGTCCCATGTCAATTTCGCAAAACTAGAAAAGAAAAAGAGACATATTTATTATATTTTTTCTCAAGTATTACAAAGTAGGACAAGTCAAATGATTATGAAGTCTCAAGTTTGTGAGTTTTGCATTTTGGAGAATAACATTCTCAAATGTATTTGGTTCGAAGAAATAATATACTCGTCGCGAAAAGAAACGCGAACCAAAGAAACGAGAAAAGAGATGTTTCCTATGTACCAATTAACAAAACTAACAATCAGTCAAGTGTTACCACAGAGTGTCTTTATTCTTATCACGATATGCTGCACGTGATTTTCAAACTTTACACGCTAATCCTGCAAGAAACAAATGGTGCATCTTGAGTCATGGACCTACACTACTGCCTAGAAGTTCATTCCCCTTACACGCATGGGCAACGCGTTACGCAACCAGTGTGCATCGGGTTGGTCACGCGTGTGAGACCCGTGTGCAACGCGTTGCACACGGGTGTGCACCCCGTCCGCCACTCGTGTGCAACGCGTGACACACTCATTAGAGGGGGAACAAACTTTTGACCAAAGGAGGACCCGTCTTAAGCTGAACCTGGAGGTGGTAACAAGGAGAGAAAATATTGTTATCTTGACGAAAAATGATAATACACATGTATTTCCTAATGTCTCCTTTCTTTATGTGATTTTGTGGGAATAACATGAATACTGTTGCGATTAAATAGATCTGTTTTGTTTTATACGACCATTGCTTCTAAATCCGATGGTGTTAAGAGAATACATGGCCCTGGAACATGTTATTGCAATTGAAATGCTTTTATTGTGATTTGACATTAACCGTCTGTAGTACGACTTTCAGTGATAATATGTATGAGGTTTGGCGGCGCATTGTTTTTATTGGACCCTAATTACTTTATGATGACTTGGACTCTTTATCACAGCTCCATAGCCGTGAGGCTGGAAAAGAGCAGCATGTAATTAATGAGGGTGGGTTATATCATTGAGGATACACTTGAGGGAGAGAATACTAATTACCATACTACAGGAAGAGACCTGTAGACGTAAGCGCGGGGTTGTGTTTTAGCTGGCCGTTTAATAATGGCCGCCAGGAGAAGTGAGCTTTGCCTGCATCATCTAAAATAAATAATAAGATACAGCAGTGTTATTTTCACGGTCTGTTGAATAAACTCCCAGCGCAACGGTCAATGTATCTTCTACTTGATCCTTGATACATCATTTTGTCTTTCACAATATATAGTATTTCAACGTACAAAGGACACTGATCTAAAGCAATTCCGCGGGAGTAGTTGTTACCTGTGCATTACTGTATTTTCCCAGTGAGTACCCGGATGATATAGCAGAAATCTAGACTTGTTCGCGACCTGTGCTCGCCATTCGTAAGCGCATTTTAATTGAAAGTAGAAGGACGTATGGTCACACTGATCAACAAAAATGAAATACAGTTTTTGAAATGTAGGTATATTTGTGGGGAGCATCGGTAATGGTGATGCAGTTTTGATAAGTCACTTGCTTGGTAATTGTGCGATCTTCGTGTACACTATTTTGACTTGCAACACAGAGTAAATATTTCACTGAACATTGCTTATTTTACCGTGTGTATATGTTTACATTCAAAATGTAAACAGATTTCACTAAGGAAATGTATTAAAACGCCTAAATATTCAGTTTATTTTACAAATTAACTGAAAAATATGTCCATCTTTATTAATATGATAACGAATTCCAAATATTTGTTTATGTTTAATACCATCACCAAGTACAGTTCTGTATTGTTTGGCTTCTTTTCTTAGCATAATTAATATATTGTGATGTGTTTAAGCTCTCTTGGTCGTCTTTATCATTTTTAGTCAGTCGGTTAAATAAATGAATGGAATATTCAGTCAATTTGTAAAATGACAGAAATATTTAGATATTTAATAAATTGCCTGAGTGAATCATATTTTACACATTGACTGTAACATAAACACGCTTACAAAAGAAAATACTTGTGAAAACACCGTCTATCGCGCATCGAAAAACTTCCCAACCAAACGGAAAGGAACAAGAATGATTCTGTTCAAAGCTGCAGCGAATGAATGAAAACAAAATGCAAATATCATTATAACAACCTACCAAAGTTATAATGTATCCGGGAATATCAACATACAGGAACAATATCCATTGCGTCTGCAGCTGTACAAAAATACTTATTCGATGTAAAATGTCTATGTGAGAATCAAATACTTTAATAATAATTATTTGGAAACAATATTTGGAATATATATGAAATATATTAAAATACTTAAATATATCGTTTTTAGACGTTATTTAAATGTATCGAATAGTATAACCCGTGTTTGTTTCTTAACTGATCACTTATTTTGTTTCAATTGTTTCACATAGGTGCCAAGTTAGCTGAGAAAGCCCACGTGACAACTATTCTTATAATGTCCACGGTTCTTAAAAACATACATTGAGTTAGATAACAATGAACAACCAGTCAGTGTATTATCGGTTACCCTTTGAACAAAGTACATTCGATGGTCCTTCAGCATCAACATTGTCGAGGTGTAATTTCATTTGTTTCTTATAATAAAGCTTGAAATTCTTTATGATCCTGGCATCTAGTGTTAATTGTTAAAGTTAATCTCTGCAGCCGGTGTCAAAACACGGGGTTGTGTACTCGCGGGCAGATGACCACGGAGTACGCTGACCACTGTGTCGGATTAACGAGACTGATTAATGAGTGATTTCAGTAATTCGTTGCAAATTAGGTGTGTCGGAGTCGGAGTGCGAGAATGTCGGATTAACGGGACTAAATAGCGCTGAATCAATCGGTTCCCATCATTTGTGTCGGATAAAGCCGAATGTCGGATTAACGAGTGTCGGATTAACGAGACTTGACTGTATGTTGTTTTTACATCTGTACTTCACGCCATGATATGAGTATTCCCTAGGTTTAGTAACCCTACCTTCACATGTAAACACTTACTTTTGACATATCCACTGTGCAAGATAACAGTAATTAATCAATCAACGTATTTCCTATTGATCCTTTGATGTCTGGGAATGATCAGTTGATTTACAAAAAAAGTAAAGCAACTGATCATACATCACTTGCTGGGCTGCGACGTGCATAACTCACATTCCACCTCACTTCAAACCTGGATTTAGATTAAATAATTACCCCAGGTACAAGAAAGACCAAATTTGAACCTTTATCGGGTAATCTGAGTGGTGCTACAGCTAAGTATACATGTTATAAATTCATTACCTGAGCAGCAAGTGAATTACGACAAATACAGAAGTGTAGGGTTATACCAGAAAATGTGGATGACAACAAGGGAGTAGTAATTGTATCATCCACGCAATCTGAAATCCGCAAATGCTTTCACTCAGGAAATTTTTTTATTATCAAACTGTAACAATCAGGGGTATTTCCAAATGACGACATCCGATGAGCTTTCGCCGTTATTTGTCTGTTTGTTTAGGCTGAAGAAATTAATTACCATGCGCCCTTTGTTGAAATCTTCATAGATCACGGGTAACCAATCAGTTTTCAAAAATGCGTAAGTTTATTTAGCTGTCCTTGCAGACTGGTAGCCCAGTCTCTTGTCACGCTCGGTTGCGTTAACGAGCAAATTGACTCACGGCAGCTAGTAAGCCCAAGCGGAAATCCAAAGGTCGTGTTACCTGAAGAATCAACCTTCATTTGCGAAATATCTACTGCTCTCAAAATCAATATTTCTCCCAAAACTAAAAGTCAGAACTTTCTAACCAAGGAGTACCAGTTGAAACTGGTCGATGGCTGAACATTCCCAGGGAAGACAACCAGTGTCCACTCTGTGATTCTATCGCCGTGGGAGATGAATTGCATTATATTTCGATGTGAAGCTTTTCACCAACGGCGATATGAACTCTTAAATAAGCAATATCTTAAGTTTCCACACATTTAAGAAAATTATGACCACTAACAGTGTAAGAAATCTTAAAGGCCTATCTAAATTCCTTAACAATGTGTACAATACAATTGGTAAATTGTATTAGTATCCACGTATCCTTTTTTTATTAAATTGTACATAATAAAAATTGTAGATAATTGTATGTCATGTTATTCTAAGAATAAATGAGTTTGAGTCCGACACCCGAGAAGAAGCCAGAGATTAGTGCCCCTTTTTGAATAGTTTACAATCATGTGTTTTACGGTTAGCTGTGTTGGCTTAAACGTATTTTTATTTCAAAAGAAATCTGGATCGGTAAACAAGCAAAACATGCTTATGTAATACCTCTCCAGGTAACAACTTAACAACAGCTGGATATATATAAGAGAGGGATGAACATAAACATACAAAATGCACAAATGAAAGCAAGCAAGTGGTGTCTTTGAAATAAGGTAATGCAGTTTTCCTTTACTACATGCTTAAAATTAAGCTACTCAAACCTTTTGCTTTTGACAATGATGTCATGAACTGATTTAAGAAGAGTCATGTTTGTAGAACTGCTTAACTACTGCCATGTAATATAATTTTTAGACCATACCCATGTGTGTAGAAATACACTTCTTTATTTAATCATTACCCTTTTTTACCCTAATAGTACAAGTGCTTCCCCGTGTGCGAGATAGGCTTAAGTCGGAAAGCGCACGTTATATCTCCGAGGTACCTATCTACCAGAACTCTATTTGCTGTTCTGGCCATACATAAATATATGTAAGTTACGTACATGGGGAGGCTAGATTATTTACAGCTTACAGCAATATAGTGCAAATATTATGTTCAATAAAAGAAAACGTTGATAGATCTATAACACACTTTTTGTACTATTAAACCAACTGTGGACTTTTAAGACATTTTCGCTTATTGTAATAACATCTAGCTAACCAATCATGTCTATCTCTGAAATCCATAAGCATAGTTGCTGTCAAACCTAAAAAACATATTCAGGGAGGTCAGTTTTGATTTGCCAAGCACCTTAAGGTGAGTTTATTTTTAAACTGTCAAAAGCGATTGTCCCTTCAATACCAGTATATGTCTGGAAGCTGTCTCTCGGACTGTTATGAGTTATGATGTATTTTATGATATAACCGGGGAATGTTCAAATTAGTTACTGTCGTTTAATCCAACGTTCTAACTGTCAACTGTCTCAACAGGATCATAGGTTTGGTTATATATCTCCTCCCTGTCTCTATGTCTTAAGTTGTTAATCGGTAACTGCGGTCCAAATGTATCAACTTATTCATCTATTGTTGCAAACTTGACTGATTTAAACATATCTTATTGATCATGAACTACTCAGTCAGTCAAGCACATGTATCAGAAATGTAAAACCAGCCATGTTTCATGTAGTGCCAATATCACTGAAAAATGCCGATGTAACGTGACAAATAAATTTACTCACAGGCAATATATTTTTCGTGAGAGTGAAGCACAATTTTATTAAAGTTTTATTAACAATTTCATAAACTATAATAATATTAATATTAAAATTCATCATCACTTGCCAAGTTTATGAAAATGTCCCCATTTGGGAGATGTCACATATAAACAAGGATTCGAACTAAGTTTGATCGTCTTTGACACTGAGGTTTATCCCCACTTTGCCAGCAAACTGCAGAAGATTAACAGTGAGTGAGTGAGCATCGTTTCTATGTTTATACAAGAAAAGATGTCATGCCAAAAACGCTCACAGTAGTTAGTAAGTAAACTCACGACCTGTCATGACCTGGTTGAGTGACTTCCTCAAATGAACGTGAAAGGATTACCCACAGAGAAAGAAAGGATTAAAGTCACCCATAAATCTTATCCTAACGTAGTACTCCAACTTCTAAATGCCTCTCAAAGAAGGATTAAAATCCTAAAGATATCCTATCTACGTGGTATAGGTACTCACAACCTCTAATAATAAACTGTTACGTTTGGTATCCCCAGCAATACTCACTATGGTAATTGGGCAAATGTAAAAATCACAAACCCTAACGAGATTCTGTCTACATGGTCACACCCGGTGATTGTGAAGATCTCAAATTTTATCAACTGTCAGACAGCATGGCTGTTCATATTCATTTACAACATCCTCTTATAATTAGCATAAAAGTGTCCCACACAAAACCTTCTTTTATTTATTTTTCAAAATACAACACAGAAAGTTGGGTGTGGGGAAATGGGACATATTCCTACGTGAAATAATGAGACATTAGTAGTGGTGACGGCTATGTCATAATGGAACTGTCTAAAGCATAAATTTGGCGAACGAAAAACGTTATATTTGCAATCAAATGAAATGACTCGTGTGGGCAAATGAATATGTTCGCAATCCACAAACAATTATTTTATTAATGGCGAACATTTACCAACCCGCGACAATCGTGTCAACACGGGGGTTTCTTAGCAATAAACTCGCATCTAAATTCACTACTGTTCTACTGTCGGCTAGCCACAATGGCTAGACTGGACCCTAGTGGAATGGTTCATGCCATAAAAGTCTAGCAACCGAACACTAATTAAGATGGGCCGACCTTGTATTTACGGTCTGGTGAACACAGCTAAATGGCCGCTCATTAACTCAAATTTCACATCTCACTGTTTTGTTTTATTTCACTATTCATTTGATAAATTTGTCAACTTCAACTGGAACCCGGTCCCGTGTTACACGCGTGGCACACGCGTGTGCAACGGGTTGCACACGCGATTCACACCCGTTGGACACGGGTGTGCAACGGGTGTGAATCGCGTGTGCAACCCGTTGAGCACCCGTGTCACATGCGTGTTACACGCGTTCTCAACGCGTGTTAGGGGAATGAACTTTTAGGCAGTAGTGTATGACGTCACATATGATGCGTTCATGAGCAGTTAATACCAGTATGTTCGTTTGTGTATCGAACCAGTCTAATATCTCTTGAACATGAGTCTTCATATACTAACCAACATGTATGGTATTCGCGTTTCTTTTGGCGGTGAGTATAGAAAACATTAATTGAAGATTACATGTATATATATGAACCAAAACGTCAGCGATAATGCAAATGTTTGGGGATATATATTTTTTATGAAATTGTGTGCTCAGTCTTCACTAAATATATCCTCCAAAATATTCATGATCCCTAACTCTTTTTTTTAGTAATATCTTCCATAACGACCTCCAATCCAGCATCAGATTAGAGTGAGTGAGTGAGTTGGGTTTAACACCGCTTTTAACAGTATTCCAGTTATATCACGGCGTGACAGCCTAAGCATGGAGGAAAGCCCAAAGTGATGCAGGTCTTAGACGTTCACCACTTCGGTGATAATAATCATGTTCACTAGGAACATAATCGGGGTGATCCGGGATGCGAACCCACAATAATAGGTTTCTGGTGTGCCCAAAAGACGCAACTTTGGACAGCGACTCGCGGCGCCTTTGACGACTGGGCCACCCGTGCGCCCGCATCAGATTAGAAATAATACCTCGTCGTCATGGCAATGCTGAACATGACACCTGTCGTCATGGTGATGATGGTCATACTTGTGGCATTTGTAGCATTCTAACCCAGCTTGAGGATAATGCTCTGCACCAACTGCTTGAACAAAACAATTATGCTTCAGTCACAGTCTCTATTTTTTGTGGTTGGTTGGATGGTTGGTTTGTTGTTTAACACCGCACTCAGCAATATTTCAGCTATATGACGGCGGTCTGTAAATAATCAAGTCTGGACCAGACAATCCAGTGATTGACATCATGAGCATCGATCCGGGACCGATGACAATTGGGATACGAGGACATGCATCAAACAACTCAGCGAGCCTGACCACCCGATCCCGTTAGTCGCCTTTTACGGCAAGCATGGGTTGCTGAAGACCTCTTCTGCCCCGGATCTTCACAGGTCCTATTTATTGTGAACTAAACATCTGCGATGATCTACAATTACAAGTATAGGGACATATTTATTGGAGTTATGACCCCTGTTCTGCTGAAATTGTAACTTACAAATGTCGTGATAACAGCTAAACTAAAACTGTTTGCAAGTTGTTCTCACACACACACACACACACACACACACACACACACACACACATATATATATATATATATATATATATATATATATATATATATATATATATATATATATATATACTTGACTATGCACTGGATTTGATATAAGTAGGATATATAAACAAAAGAAGATTAACAAGCTTGACATTATTAACATGGTCATACACAACCAAAAACAAGCAGTATTGTCAAATTGACCAAGTACATATCAGACTTGAACACGTATTTTGAATGATGAATGTCTGTTGTTTGATCAAAGGTGTCATTATTGTCAATAACGTCCCTTACTTTCGTACTTAACTGTGCAATGGATGTGCTGTCTGGACAGCGCGTTCCCGAGAGGACAATTTAAAGCGAAAATAGTAAAGTATTTTGCTCCCATTATTTCAATTTTAATAGGTGTAGTGTGGTAACTGCGTTTTGACATGGCACATAAACAATGAAATTATCAGCGAATCTTTATGTCATAAATGTGACTGTTACATCTTAACCCTCAGAAATTTGTCATTCATGTAGCTAAAATGCATTAGCTGAAATAGTTTTTATATTGGATGCCAAATAGACATGTATGTGTGTAAAGTAGGATCAAATGGGTGTCAAGGGAATCGCATGCTTCTTGGAAGTAGCCATTTTATCATTTAAAAATAGGATTTACAAAAACTAGGAATCAACAGCAATCAGGTCAAAAAACGGAATCAGAATCAAGGCGCTTGAACTCTTTTCTTAAAAAATATACATGATTATTAAAGAGGTGCGTGTACAGCGGTCTGAATGAACGACTATAACTGGATAAGATACAGCAGTCAGTGTCATTTTCTGTTTGCCTCAAAACATTCATTGACATATTATAACTGATGACACGTATAACTGCACATAGTGTTCTTTCCGCTTTTCTAATCTATTCTGGGGCGCTGTCTTTTTGTAAGTTTACGCCAGATGATCGCTGTTTACAAAGCCGAAAATCGGTCAATGTCGTAACATGACACAATGAATCGTAGTTTTAAGGCAACTAAACCATTTTTTCAACAGGAAGAATGTTTTAATAGTATCAATGCGAAATGAACTCTTTATTATGTTTGATATTGTGTACTAAACACCGGTTTAGATGTCATTAATTTCATGTGAAAAAATCCATTTCCCCGATACATTAAACGTGGCGAAGGATCTGTCTAACTACTTTTCTTATCTACATGCACGCCCTTTTGCACGGTATCTCTACAGTCAGATAAAACAGGCACTTCTAAGTTTTAATTCATACAGCTGTCTCCGTCACAGCTGGCAATCCCAGTGGAAGTAAATAAATACGAAAAAATCCTATCCAATTTCTGAGAGCACAACATCCCCCGCATGAATTTTTTTAACGAGTCAAATGAAGCTCCGTTAAACGGGGGCAGCAGCTCTCTCAAAATTAGTCGAAATGAAACGGGACTGGGATATGCGTATCATCAACATGTCGACATCTTGTGTGTAGAGTGTCAGGGATATTCTCTTGAAACTGTAGGAGGAGTTGATTTCACAAGCTTAGTACCCTCTCTCAGAATTAGGCAAATGAAGCTCCGTAAAACAGGGGCAGTAACTCTGTCAAAATTATTCGAAATGAAACGGGACTACGATATGCGTATCATCAACATGTCGACATCTTGTGTGTAGAGTTTCAGGGATATTCTCTGGAAACTGTAGGAGGAGTTGATTTCACAAGCTTAGTACCCTCTGTGGGACGGACAGACGGACAGACAGACAGACAGACGGATGGACGGACTGCGCCACGACATAATCCCCCTTCGGACATTCTGGCCCGGCGGGGGATAAAAACTAACTCTGCCAAAAGTAGAATGGATTATACAATTCCGACCATATCATTAGCATGCGTCCATGAATCACCATCAAGAAGTGATGATACCCCATGGCCAGGTGTTCGCGAAAGGGTAAGCGTTTCCTGCCCCACCGGTGGCACCTGTTACAAACTCATGCAAAAACAAGTCAATTAGCCAACTGAAAAAACACGGGCACATCTGGTACAAGTTATTATTGGGAATTGGATCGGGCGTCATTTTGTCATTGATGTGTCAAATTTGGAAATGTCATCAACATGTCCACCATAAAACTTTACGAAAGCTTTACTGAGACCTTGAATATTGTAACCTTGGTCAATCAACTTCTGAGCAAGAGTCGTATTTCGATCTTTGAAATCTTCGAAGAAAGAGCATTGCTTGATTATACCTCGAAAGTTGTGAAATGTAGACATTGATAAGGGAAAAGGGAAAGTAGACTATCACTGAGTAGAGTGAGTGAGTGAGTATGGTTTTACGCCGCTTTTAGCAATATTCCAGCAATATCACGGCGGGGGACACCAGAAATGGGCTTCACACATTGTACCCATGTCGGGAATCGAACCCGGGTCTTTGGCGTGACGAGCGAACGCTTTAACCACTAGGCTACCCGACCGCCCCTCGCTGAGTAGAGGTCATCCCTCTGGTCATACAGTCTTGTGGAAAGGGTTTTGTCACTCTGAATCTTCATGCATAAATCTAAACATGAAACAGACAAGGCGGTCTCACAGGTCTCCTGTATTTCTAGTTCAGCTAGGTAAATCAATGGAAGGGAATTGGCTATTTCATGGTTATTCAACGACATAAGATCTGCGATATACCTGAAGCTGAAGGTAAACTTCTTGGCCAAATCGCCTTGTTTTGACCAAATGTTACACTGATGTTATCTTCACATGGCATGTGCTTTCATTTTTTGACAAATCGTCCTGAACCTCTGAAGATAGAAATGTAATTGAATCCATGGTTTCAAAGATTAGTAAGCAATGCCCCATGGATCAAGGAATGAAGTTTTTCCTTTAGTTTGTCTTGTGGTATAGTGATGTACAAAGTTAAAAAATCTAATGTTTTGACAGAATTGAACTTGTTTGTTTCTGGGTTTGCAAAATTTCAAGCAAATCCTTGGAGTTTTCGAGAATCCACTTGGTATTAATTCCACTTGTCTGAAATGCTTTATATATAGACATAGACATAGACATGAATATAGACAATGTTCGTCCTTGATAGTAGTAAGGTTTAATGTTTTTCTTAGAAACAGAGATTTGGTGGGGAATTTGATGGACCAAACAATCTTACTTGTTCGCTTATCGCCTCAATATTCCAGCTATATTGCGAGCAACGATCCGCGCCGTCGGGGTACGAGGACATGCCTTCAACCAAGTCACCGAGCCTGACCACCCGGTCCATTATGTCACCTCTTACGGCTAGCATAGGTAGCTGGGGGCCAATTCTAACCCGGAATCCCCATGGAGCTTACTCTTGAGAATCAACCAAAATAAACGCATAATTTAAAATATAACATCCTTCCACCAATTATTCTCGTGCATGGGAAGGGGTATCGGTCTGTATGTTTCAAACTGAATCGGTTCAACAACTACATAAAGGAAGGAATAACTAAATGCCTACCAATTGCCACTTGGAAACTCAGTATTAGGAAAACTGTCTTCATGGCGTGAGTTGTATGACGGTGTAAGCCACTTATCAGTAGATAAGCGCACGAGCCTTCAGACCTGAACATGGTATAAATAATCTAAAAAACTGTGCACTGTTATTTAGGTTATTTATACGATTACAGCAGACACCACGCCATCTAGAGAGTGATTGGGCGAGTGGGTTGAGTTTTGTGGCTGTTGATGTGTAGGTTTGTTTCTGAGGATTGTTACTGGTAGCGGATTGAAACGGAGTTTATTGACAGCATGTGACAGCCACAGTGTGATGCCTCACCCAATACGTTACTGGTTTCTAGTGGTAACCCACTCAGACACCATGCCGCAGTTATAACATAGGTGCCCTACTCGGACACAGTATACTGATTCCGAATCGGCCGGTCCTTGTATTGTCTCCTTAATGGCAGGATACCAATAAGTATCATCGTATAACGTCTTTTGCGAAACACGGCCAGGAATCGGTCTCTCGACTAAACTGTAAGATAGCCGCAGCATAAAGCATCTACATATTAACTTCATTAATCACATTTTCTGTCACGGCTTTTTGTTCTTTAAACAAGATAGAATGTTTCACTGACTGTTGCTATTGAAACATCGAAAAAGTACCGATCTTCGAATTCCTACCAAGAACGAAAACATCAATAATTCAGATTTATAGTCCAATCAGTGACTATAGAATTATGCCCATGCGACTCCGTTATACTACTACTACTAGTACTACTACTACTACTACTACTACTACTACTACTACTACTAGTACTACTACTACTACTACTACTACTACTAATGATGATGATGATGATGTCAAATATGCGGACCTCGCTTTCGAAATGTCACGCTTGCATCCCAAGTACCAAGTTGTCCGACTCCCCATTGTTCTCGGTGCCTTAGGTTTGGTACCTCCCAATCTGTTGACTGCCATCGGGAGAGTACCCGGGTTTGCTACCAGGAATACAGCCCTTCTGACAATCTGGGTAATGCAGAAGGCTGCAGTGTTGGGGGGTCTTCACATTCTCCGAAAAGTTCTGGGTGGGTTTGACTAGGCAGCGCTTCCTGGGAGTAGTCCCATTCGCTGTCTGGGCTGCGTGTAGAGGGGGCAAGGGCCCTGAGCTGATGATGAGCCTAACCAGCCAGGACTGTGCCAGGATCACCCAAACACTCTTTGCTGCATTTTTTATTTTAATCCAAAAATAATAATAATAACAACAACAACAATAACAACAACAACAACAACAACAATACAAAATATTTACAGGATGTCTTACAGATATTGTGTCATCATACTGCGCATCCAATGACATTATTTACTTTGGGAGCAGAAAGGAGCCAGAAAGGGATGCTGGGGTTGTAAGGATCAACTACTAGTTCAGAAAATGATCCTTGAAGAAGCGAAAACTTACCACCGTAACCTCTCAATGTGTTGCATAGACTACAGAAAAGCTTATGATTCTGTACCTCACGAATGGATTTTGAGGTCACTGGAATGTATTGACTTCCCCGGGCGACTACTTGTTTTACTCAAGTCTTTAATGAATTGCAACTCAACTTGAGATGTATTCGCAGGGGACGTATATTCTGGAGAATAAGGTGTCGGAAATAACATGTGCTCGTATCAGAGTGTTTGAAGCGTAGGGAATAACATGGACGTATATCTGGAGAATAAAGCGTCGGAAATAACAATGTACACGTATCAGAGTGTTTGAAGTATCAGGAATAACATGGACGTACATTGTATATCTGGAGAATAAAGCGTCGGAAATAACATGTACAGATATCAGAGTGTTTGAAATGTCGGGAATAACATGTACGAATATATGGAGAATAAAGGTTCGGAAATAACATGTGAACGTATCAGAGTGTTTGAAGTGTCGGGAAAAACATGTACGTATATCTGGAGAATAAAGATTCGGAAATAACATGTCCGCGTATAAGAGTGTTTGAAGCGTCGGGATAATATGGACGTATATCTGGAGAATAGAGATTCGGAAATAACATATGCACGTATCAGAGTGTTTGAAGTGTCAAGAAGTGGATGTGTTTAAGGGGATGACGTGTCGGGAACAATCTGTGGATGTGTCTAAGGGGATGAAGTGTCGGGAACAACCAGTGGATGTGTCTAAGGGGATGAAGTGTCGGGAACAACAAGTGGATGTGTCTAGATGGATGAAGTGTCGGGAACAACCTGTGGATGTGTCTAAGGGGATGAAGTGTCAGGAACAACCAGTGGATGTGTCTAAGGGGATGAAGTGTCGGGAACAACCAGTGGATGTGTCTAAGGGGATGAAGTGTCGGGAACAACCAGTGGATGTGTCTAAGGGGATGAAGTGTCGGTAACAACCGGTGGATGTGTCTAAGGGGATGAAGTGTCAGGAACAACCGGTGGATGTGTCTAAGGGGATGAAGTGTCGGTAACAAGCGGTGGATGTGTCTTAGAATATGAAGTGTCGGGAACAACCAGTGGGGATGAAGTGTCGGGAACAACCGGTGGATGTGTCTAGATGGATGAAGTGTCGGGAACAACCTGTGGATATGTCTAAGGTGATGAAGTGTCGGGAACAACCAGTGGATGTGTCTAAGGGGATGAAGTGTCGGGAACAACCAGTGGATGTGTCTAAGGGGATGAAGTGTCGGGAACAACCGGTGGATGTGTCTAAGGGGATGAAGTGTCGGGAACAACAAGTGGATGTGTCTAGATGGATGAAGTGTCGGGAACAACCTGTGGATGTGTCTAAGGGGATGAAGTGTCAGGAACAACCTGTGGATGTGTCTAAGGGGATGAAGTGTCAAGAACAACCAGTGGATGTGTCTAAGGTGATGAAATGTCGGGAACAACCTATGGACGTGTCTAAGGTGATGAAGTGTCCGGAACACCCAGTGGATGTGTCTAAGGGGATGAAGTGTCGGGAACAACCTGTGGATGTGTCTAAGGGGATGAAGTGTCGGGAACAACCGGTGGATGTGTCTAAGGGGATGAAGTGTCGAGAAGTGGATGTGTCTAAGGGGATAAAGTGTCGGGAACATCCAGTGGATGTGTCTAAGGGATGAAGTGTCCGGAACAACCGATGGGTGTGTCTAAGGGGATGAAGTGTCCGGAACAACCAGTGGATGTGTCTAATGGGATGAAGTGTCAGGAACAACCAGTTGATGTGTCTAAGGGGATGAAGTGTCAGGAACAACCAGTGGATGTGTCTAAGGAGATGAAGTGTCAGGAACAACCAGTTGATGTGTCTAATGGGATGAAGTGTCAGGAACAACCAGTTGATGTGTCTAAGGGGATGAAGTGTCAGGAACAACCAGTGGATGTGTCTAAGGAGATGAAGTGTCAGGAACAACCAGTTGATGTGTCTAAGGGGATGAAGTGTCGGGAACAACCAGTTGATGTGTCTAAGGGGATGAAGTGTCAGGAACAACCAGTGGATGTGTCTAAGGGGATGAAGTGTCGGGAACAACCAGTTGATGTGTCTAATGGGATGAAGTGTCAGGAACAACCAGTTGATGTGTCTAAGGGGATGAAGTGTCGGGAACAACCAGTGGATGTGTCTAAGGGGATGAAATGTCAGGAACAACCAGTGGATGTGTCTAAGGGGATGAAGTGTCAGGAACAACCAGTGGATGTGTCTAATGGGATGAAGTGTCAGGAACAACCAGTTGATGTGTCTAAGGGGATGAAGCGTCAGGAACAACCAGTGGATGTGTCTAAGGAGATGAAGTGTCAGGAACAACCAGTTGATGTGTCTAAGGGGATGAAGTGTCGGGAACAACCAGTGGATGTGTCTAAGGGGATGAAGTGTCAGGAACAACCAGTGGATGTGTCTAAGGGGATGAAGTGTCAGGAACAACCAGAGGATGTGTCTAAGGAGATGAAGTGTCGGGAACAACCAGTGTATGTGTCTAAGGAGATGAAGTGTCAGGAACAACCAGTGTATGTGTCTAAGGAGATGAAGTGTCGGGAACAACCAGTGTATGTGTCTAAGGGGATGAAGTGTCGGGAACAACCAGTGTATGTGTCTAAGGGGATGAAGTGTCGGGAACATCCAGTGGATGTGTCTAAGGGGATGAAGTGTCAGGAACAACCGATGGGTGTGTCTAAGGGGATGAAGTGTCAGGAACAACCGATGGGTGTGTCTAAGGGGATGAAGTGTCAGGAACAACCAGTGGATGTGTCTAAGGGGATGAAGTGTCAGGTACATCCAGTGGATGTGTCTAAGGTGATGAAGTGTCGGGAACAACCAGTGGATGTGTCTAATGGGATGAAGTGTCGGGAACAACCGGTGGATGTGTCTAAGGAGATGAAGTATCGGGAACAACCAGTGGATGTGTCTAATGGGATGAAGTGTCGGGAACAACCGGTGGATGTGTCTAAGGTGATGAAGTGTCGGGAACAACCAGTGGATGTGTCTAAGGGAATGAAGTGTCAGTAACAACCGGTGGATGTGTCTAGATGGATGAAGTGTCGGGAACAACCAGTGTATGTGTCTAGTGGGATGAAGTGTCGGGAACAACCGGTGGATGTGTCTAAGGGGATGAAGTGTCGGGAACAACCAGTGGATGTGTCTAAGGAGATGAAGTGTCGGGAACAACCAGGGGATGTGTCTAAGGGGATGAAGTGTCGGGAACAACCGGTGGATGTGTCTAAGGGGATGAAGTGTCCGGAACAACCTGTGGATTTGCAACATACCGAAGCTCGTGAGTTTCATCAAAGTAGTAAACGTTGGAGACACATCAAGCTGACACTGGTGATAACTAAAATGTATATATTGAGTCACTCACTCACTCTTCTCTTGAAAAAACTCTTTATTGTACATATGTTTACACTATAGCATCGTCGTTTAGGTCAAATTGCTACCCGAATCTGAAAATGTTAAAAAATGTGGAAATTGCCAGTTTCGTGACTGTTCTTTCGTTTAAAAACAGGACATACGCGGTCCGACCTCTATTGCGATCGCCATCTTTAATTTCAAAATGGCCGCCATCGGAAAACACCTCTCAGCTCTCAGAAAACATAAAGGCTTAGTTTAAGTTGCTCAACTAATGTTTTTATACCCAAAAAATTCAAAAGAAACGGGAAAGTGCTCTATCTTTAATTTATGTGCTTCAAAATCAAATCCGGAAGGTATCCGAACCCTTGATAAGCCTCCTTGCTATAATAAACCCTTCACGGACCTGTCAACCAATCACAATAATATCTGTTTTATCACACAGTGCATAAAGGATGTTCAGTCTGAATGGCTACATCGTGGTCAATATTGTCCCCAGTCGCATCATTGAACACATCACTTTACAGGGCAAAAATAGAAGTAGAAGTAGAAGGGCAAAAATAACCATCCCTTTCAATCTGAGCACATACACTATTTGCAAGACATGTAGAAACTACGTGTCTTGACCATTGAACCCACACTACTTCGCCATGTCTTAAGTCAAATTGGTTGAAATTCTTTCTCTTCCTTAGTCATATTTTTCGGAGCACGTTGCAGTTTATGGTTGTCAAATCTGATCCTGCAGCTTTTAAGCCACACTGCTTCAGTTCCCTCACCACTGTGTAGCCTCACAATACTGATGTTTTGTGGTAAAAAGTTGATTTTATGAAACGCCAAAACGTTTTCAGCAAGGAGTCTGTAACCACATCCTTTACCACTTCCTTTATACATTCCTTTCCTAAGGTCAACCCGTTTCCAAGTGTATGGATGGTATCAAATGACAAACCACTATTGTGCCTGTTGGAATGTGTTAGCGTTTCTGAAACTGTCCTAGTCTCAGTGTTAGTGTCCGCTGGGAGCGGTGCCATGTTGGATAGTGAGTGAGTGAGTTGGGTTTAACGCCGCTTTTAACAGTATTCCAGTTATATCGCGGCGTGTCAGCTTAATGTGGGAGGAAAGCCCGAAGTGATGCAGGTCTCAGACGTTTACCACTTCGGTGAAACCCACGAGCACGGGTATGGTGCTGACAAACCTAGAAACATAATCGGGGCGAACCGGGATTCGAACCCACAATCATAGGTTTCTGGCGAGCCCAAGGGACGCAACTCTGCACAGCGAATCGCGGCGCCTTAGACGACTGGGCCACCCGTGCCCCCTCCATGTTGGATAGTATATATCATGCGAGAGGATTTTCATGTGCAGTTAAATCTTATAGCTGCTTTTTTATTATGGCTAGCACAGTTAAAGACATCAACACCTACATAAGCTCCGATGTGCCTACACCCCCATGCTGCATACGGGGATAAAGTGTTGTAAGGCTAATCTGCTCTCGAGCAGAAAAGGACTGCTTTCTTCTTCTACAAAACCTAATCAGAAAATCCTTTCGAAATCTCTGTCCAGAAGCACAGTATAGGAAAAAGTTGATGGAATGGTTAAAGTACATCAGCAACTCTGAAACCGTAGCAGCCAACTTGACTTTGACCATTGACTGTTTATTAAGCCCCATGTTGTTCAGGATAGGCGATGCTATAAGGCATATGTTCACAGGGAGTTTGGTGATCAGAAAAGTGAAGGATACGGTCAACAGCATAATTGTTAAACGGGTGCCTTTATCTCCGGAAAGCATTTTCTGCAACTCCCAACTGTCATTAAGTTCCCTCTGTTCAATTGTCGATCTTCCGACTTTGCAAATGATGAGGACATTGAAGATGCTGATGATACTGAATGGAACTAAGCAGTATATGAGAGCATCCAACCATGGCCATACTTCAGCGATGAGGACATTAGAGCCTGCAATTGCGCCACACACTGGGAAGGTGTAGGACCCGGATACTTTTTCTCTTAAACCAACCGTCCATACAAACTGAGAACTCAATGCAAGAGACAGACACAATAACCCGCCAATTATTTTTCTCGCTCGTGACACCTTACAAAGTCTCTTAGCTCTCAATGGGTAGTACACGACAACATACCTCTCAATGGTAACAGCAACCACGATCCATACCGACATATAGCTCACACAATATGCTGAAATAATCATGGTTTTGCACAGCCAATCAGATTGATTGTGAATGTCGAAGCCTGTGAGTTCTGTCAGCCATTTCGGAAGTAAGCCTATCCACAGGATCAGGGAGTCTGCAACAGCCAACGCTCTTAAAAACGTGTACGTAGAGGATCGTTTGTTTGATTTTCGACTCAAGATCAAGAAGGATAAAAAATTACCAATAATACCAATTAGGAACACTATTGGTGGAATGTAAATAAGCATTACTTCTTGAATACGGTATTCTTTCATTTCGCTGTTACTTTCCGCGCTTGTATTGACGAGGTCGTTAAACAATTGCATTCTCTCATCAATGAGCATGCGTTGAACCATGGTAATTAGCACGGCTTCTGAAATATTCATTGTGAGTTCCAAGTCACTTCTTCTATTACACAGTGGAAATGGATTATGTGTTTGCGTCAGACTGGTCATCGGGAACTGGAAAACAGAGAGACAGTATGAGGTTATGAATCTTGTCATCAATGAGAACATTCTCAAGCATGTTGTAATCTGTGTTTGAACCAATTTCATTACAAGCAAATCTTAAGGCGACTCGACT